TCTGGAGACAGCAGAATAGAAGAGAAAGAACTGGGCAAAAAATCATGAAGCACAAAGACCTTCAAATAGAAGTAGAACACCTATGGCAAAAGAAAGCAAAGGCAATACCAATAGTAATAGGCACTTTGTGTGCAATCCCAAAACATCTGGAGCTCAACTTGAACACCATCAGCACTGACAAAATCAGCATCACTCAATTGCAAAAGTCAGCTCTACCTGGAACATATTGCTTAATGCATTGTAAGCCACCCTGAGTCTCTGGAGAAGGGCGGCATATAAATCAAATTAAAAAACAACAACATAATACATCCTGCAAATGTACATTTAACCCCATTAAATAACATTTGCCTACCCCAAGTTCTTGGGAAGGATTCAATAGGTGGACAAAGATGTCAAATCCACTCTAAACATTTGGCTGACTGTGTGACCAATATAATTTATCTTTATTTGTTTATTATAGATTTTAATAATTAGATTTTCATCCTGCCTTTATTACTTTGTGAGTAACTCAAGGCAACAAACACAATGTGCATAATCCTCTTTCCTCCTTCCATGTTCTCCACAACAACCATCTTCTGAAGTGGGTTGGACTCAGAGAGAGTGACTGGTTCAGCATCACCCGATAAAGTTGTTAAGGAAACAACAAGAACAACAATAACTAATAAATGAGTTTGGATTTTAACTCGAAATAAATAAATAAATCTTAAATTTCATCAGGAAATCCCTTCAAATCAAGGATTATCCTCTTCCAGGTAGGGTAGAGAGCTAGGCTAAATGAGGCTATGCTCAGCAGTCTCTCAGGATTTAAGGCAGGGGTCCTCAAATTTTTTAAACAGGGGGCCAATTCATTGTCCCTCAGACTCTTTGGGGGCCAGACTAGCTGGGTGGGCATGGCTAGGTGGTCATGTGACTGGATGGGTGTGGCCAATTTAGCAGTCCAAACAATACAGACAAATTAAACTTTAATTTGTTATGCTCCTGAGGGTGGAAAGCAGGATAGTGAAGGGATGTGGCTGCCTTGAGGTGTGTATGAGGGACTTTTGTGTGTGTGTGTGTGTGTGTCTGGAGGCCGGGGAGGCAAAAAATGGGCCCATTTTTGGCCTCCAGAGGCCTTCGCGTGTCCTGTTTTTGGCCTCCCTGGCCTCCAGAAGGCAGGTGGGGGTCAGTGGGTAGGCGGGGTGATGTGGGTGGGGCAGCCTCATGGTCCTGTGCGGGCCAGATTACTGGCTTTGGCAGGCCATATCCATCCCCCAGGCTGGAGTTTGAGGACCCCTGGTTTAAGGGGATCAAGCCTCAATCATGAGTTCACAGGTGCCATCTCGACATTTTTGAGCCCCTCCAAAGACACCCCTGATTCTGCCATTGGTTGAATGTAAACATTGTGGCTGGCTACCACTGATACTTTTGATTGAGTAGTGTTACCTTCTCAAGTAATAATCTGATGGTTTCATGAGGAAGTAGCAGTCTTATCTTTTCAGACTAAGAATAAGGCTAGAAAAAGGGAATGTTTTGTGAGCTAAAGCAATCCCACCACAATTTCTATCTAGCTTGGGAAACTAAGAAGTAGACGGTACTTTTTTTTTTCCAACATGGGGGCCACGGATAACTATTTATGCAGCTGCCATAAATACTTCCTGTTATTGACATGTGAAGTGGAGGTGTTTTGTACTTTGAGAAGAGATATATATATTTCCCTGAAAAGAAGCTTCTAACTGTAAATAGCAGTAAGGGCAGCATAGCCTGTTAGAAGAGATGATCTGATGCCAGCTGTTTTCCTCCTTTGGTCTGTGAAATGATTTGCTCTTTTTACAACTCTGACCTTTGGCCAAAACAAAAAGTCAGGCAATGGCCCAGATGTCTGTGGGGAGCCAGAGTGATGGTTTGTGTGCCAGGCAAGCAGTTGGCAGTGGTTCAAGACAGCAGCTTTTTCTAACCCATCTCCAACCCATCTAAGCTATTTTGTGGTGTATGTTTGTGTGTGTGTGTGCCACACGCACCAGAGTTGTTCATCACAGCAACCTAGAGATTCCTTTGGGGAGCAAATCTCCCCAAGGCCTTACTTTCTTAGATCTTCCACCTATCATTCAACAAAATAGAAGGCAAACAGAAGCTTATGGCAAGTTCAACAGACTTAGGGCAGAATCCCAAGCAGAGGCTGCCAGAAGCTGAGGATTTTTCCAGTATCCTCCATGCCAGAAAATAACAGGGGAATTGCCAAAAACATTTGTTCAGCAGAGGTACATGCGTACAGGAACTTCATTATATTTAGTGTTAACACAGCCCATCGATTAGAGATGATGCCTGCCCAATGAGTCTTATGACAGAACTGACAATGAGATATAATAGCGGGAGTCAACCCATGATGCTCTTAGCTATTTCGTAAAACAACAGGAGGCTTTCATTTACAGAACAGAATGACAGGCTAGGCCTCAGATCAGGGCTACATCTAAAACTAATCCATAGCATTTGCTTGAGGATTATCTTTAGCCAGGCAGATATGTAGAACATTAGCTTAATAGCATGAAGTATGTATATGTGACAATAAGCGGTACAGGATGGCATAATCAGGCTGTGCATTGAGAATTAGATTGTGCTCACACAATCGCATAACTCCAAAGCCTTGTGACTTTCTCTCTGATGTTCAACCAGCATGCATGTCTATACCTCACCAGAACTTTCTATAATTGGTCTCAACACACGGTATTGTAACAACCGGTGGGAAGGATTTCAAGAATCAATGTCATTCTATGGATTATAATGGATGAATGTAAAGATTTGAGCATCTCCAAGGATCCGTTTATACATTCAGCTAACTCACTGGTGTAGCAATTTTACTAAGTGTTTCTGTTACAAGTCTCACCAGCCACATCAGAATTTCTGAGCAAAATTGTTATGGATTGTTATGCTCAGGGATATTTCACTCAATGGCTGGCACCAGAATGCACGAGCTGCCTCTAGAGGAAAATATGATGCTGGCTCAAGTCACGTCAGGTGATTTGGAAGTATTTATCTGTGCAATCTGATTAAACATTGTACTCATTAGGCAATATGGAACATGGATAACTTCCGCATAAAGTTCATTTCATAATTCATTTGTTCTGTTTGAAGTTTAGGGAAAAACTCCAAAAGTACAAGCAGTTCAAACACTGAATCAATTATCCAGAAAGATGGTGCGCTCTTCTTTACCTGCTGTGCTCAAGTAAAGGCTGGCTAACCACCAATTAGGGTGCTTTCGGTGACTCAGTGGCTAAGACGCGGAGCTTGTTGATCAAAAGGTCGGTAGTCCAGCAGTTCAAATCCCTAGTGCCGCGTAACGGGATGAGCTCCCGTTACTTGTCCCAGCTTCTCCCAACCTATCAGTTCGAAAGCATGTAAAAAATCAAGTAGAAAAATAGGGACCACCTTTGGTGGGAAGGTAACAGCATTCCGTGCGCCTTTGGTGTTGAGTCATGCCAGCCACATGACCATGGAGGCGTCTTTCGACAGGGATGGCTTTTCAGCTTTGAAACGGAGATGAGCACCTCCCCCTAGAAACGACTAGCACATATGTGTGAGGGGAACTTTTACCTTTACCTTTAATTTGGATTTCTGCACTGGGCAAAGACATAAATAGCCCCTATCCACTATCTGAACATCTGATCATTTAAATACTTTTTTTAAAAAAATTAATTTATATGCCGCCCTTCTCCGGAGACTCAGGGCGGCTTACAATGCATTAAGCAATAGCCTTCATACTTTTGTATATTTATACAAAGTCAGCTTATTGCCCCCACAAACTGGGTCCTCAATACTGTTTTTTATTTTCAAATTCTGGCATAATATGGGCTATGGATAGTTTAACAATCCTGATACAGTGATTTGAGGTCCTGTATTACAACCCAAGCAGACCAAGGTTGCACACTCTATGTATGGAAGTTGCTGCCCTCTAGTGTTAAAATACATTTTGAAGTTATAGTAAAATATATATATATATTCATATTGATTTACCTACCTGGTATATGGAGAGTCTCAATCATCCAGATGATCGTGGTTGTCCCAAAGATGCTTTTCTAAAAGGTAACTGGACTTTCTTGGTTTTTTTCCCCTCATCCAAGAAGAAAACATCCAAGAGAACTGAAGAAGCTTCTTGGATAAGAAGCATTTCATTTGTTTCCAGTCAGAAGTTTGTCAAAGTGTTCCAAGACATAACTATGTACTTTAAAACTATTCTAAACACTATGCAAATGTTTAGTATGTGAATTCATTGCCAATCCTCCTTGGAAGGCTAACAGTTCGTAATAATCTTAATTTAATCTAAAATAGAATAGAATAGAACAGAACAGAACAGAATAGAATTCTTTATTGGCCAAGTGTGATTGGACACACAAGGAATTTGTCTTGGTGCATACGCTCTCGGAGTACATAAAAGAAAAGATACATTCATCAAGAATCATAAGGTACAACACTTAATGGTAGTCATAGGGAACAAATAAGCAATCAAATCATATTAGGAAACAGTCAATATAAATCTTAAGGCAACAAGGTTACAGTCATATAGTCTGTGTCTGTCTTGTTGGGTTGCGGAACCAAACCAGACAGTTATAGAGGTGCAGATGACAGACTCAATAATTCCTCTGTAGAACTGGATCAGCTCTTTGGACAGCTTTCTGAGTTGGCGCAGAAAGAACATTCTTTGTTGTGGTTTTTTGATAACGTTTTTGATGTTAGGTGTCCATTTTAGATCTTGAGATATGGTAGAACCTAGAAATTTGAAGGTCTCTACTGTTGATACTGTGTTCTCTAGTACTGTAAGAGGTAGTAGTATGGGAGGGTTTCTCCTAAATCCACCACCATTTCTACGGTTTTGAGTGTGTTCAGTTCCAGATTGTTCTGGTCGCACCACGAGGCTAGTTGTAAAATTGTATTTGATTTCATAGTCCATCACCCTTGTGTTACAGATATTGATATCCACATTTTTAACTCTCAATTTTCCTCTACCTTTCTTTATTCCTGGCTATTAGGTATCGCACATTCTTCAGACCCAGGTACAAGATTGGATACAAGACAGTCACTGAAATAGCATGGAAATGCTGCCCAGGTCTCGTGGGAGAAGGATGCCATCATGATAATCCCACTAATCAAGCAGGACTTCCATCCCAACATCCCAGCCCCAAGATGCCTCCAACTCAGAAGATGTTTCCAGGTCCCAGAGCTCCGCCTCATCCCAAAATCCCTGTGGACTCATTTCCTATACCAAAAAAGAATAATTATGGTGAGGATCCAGATCTGAGTTTGTCACACCAAAGATCATAAAGAAGGTCTTTATGATCTTGCCAATGCTTCTTGTTCTTTTTTTTTATCCAGATATGTTGGACCTGCAAAAACAAGCCCAGGCTTACAATTTTTATTGCCCAGCCTCTGAATGAAACACATCACACACTCGCATGTTTATTTTTTTATTTTTTATTTATTTTAGTTTGTCAAATACGTATAAGATAACAGAAATAAGTATAAACATGATTATGAATTTAGGATAAGGATATGAATAAATAGGGACAGCAGGACAGGGATGGTAGGCATGTTGGTGCACTTATGAATGCCTCTTTCAGACCTCTTAGGAATGGGGTGAGGTCAACAGTTAAAGTTTTGGGGGTTTGTGTGTTATAGAATCTAAATCCTTTCCCACTTCAGCCTTGTGAGGTAGTCCAGGCAAGAAGCACACTCAGAAATACTAGCTCTAAAATTATAAGGTTATATTAACAGAATCTTGCATGTCTCAAAATACATCTCGCCTCTCCCATCTTTATGGTCCTAAAAGCTAGGGAGGGTCCCTTCTCAGTTGTTTGGCATACCTCCAGTTCTTCTGCAGACTGCTGCCACTTGTTTAATACTTTGTCTAATTTGTGGTTCTTCTACAAGGTCATTCCCATATACCAGGGATGGCTAACCTTTTCTGGACCGAGTGCCCAAAGCTTGCACCCAAACCCCCCAAATGCAATGCACATGCCCCCCATCCACATGTGCCCCCCCGCATGTGCCCAGAGCATATGCACACTGCCCCTGCATGTGTCCTGCCCCCTGCACATGCACAGCAGAGACCTGAAGACCAGCTGGCTGGCGGGAGGCATGCGCCCATGTGCAGCAGAGCTGAACTGGGGCGACACTCGCTTGCCCACAGAGAGGGTGCTGAGTGCCACCTCTGGCACGCATGCCATAGGTTCGCCATCATGGCCATATACCATTACACACACAGGCTTAATCCTTTGCTTGAGAAGACATAATTTGCAGGGGCTTTTGGTCTCCTGATGGATAGCATGGCCAGAATCCAGAAAATTGCCATCTAAGTGTACCTACAAAAGGGTACACTTTTGATGTGAAATAATCACATCATTTCTGTTTATATCTTGTTCCTAGGTCGAAAAATGCCTAATGTGTTTGGTGACAGACTGGACCACTTGGAAGAGGAGGTCAGACGTCTCTCACAGTCTTATGATACCTTATACAATATGGTGAGTGGCTTGGGGGATCACCTGCGACTTGCCATCCAGGAAGATACTAGTAAAATGATTGGATCCCTCATGAATAGTCCAACTGTTCCTGATTCAACCATGGGATTCGGAATCATTCCTGATGGAATTGTGGATGCTGCAGACAAAGCTGAGCTCTCCCCCTATCCACCTGTGGGTGAGATTCTAGGCAAAGTGACTGAGATGAGTGATTCACTGAAAATCAAGACTAACCTACTTGAAGAAGTGCATGGCATGGTGCTAGATCATGATGGGCAAATCAAACACTTAATGGAATCAGCTCGGCCTTCACCACTCACCTCGATCGATATGTTAGAAGAATATATAGACAACAGGCTTAGCAACCTGAGAGTGGAGCTTTTGGATGGCTTTGAGAAAAAATTGATAAATATTCAAAGTACATGTGATTACCAGATCAAGGAAGTAAAACAGCAGTGTGAGGAAGAGAAAGCAGCCAACCTCCGACTTCAACAGATCTTGGATGGCAAAGAACTAGAGATCAAGAAAGACATTTCTCAACTGGAAACACAGATCCAAGGACTGACAGTTGTAGAAAACTGCTGTAGCAACTTGAACTACCTCACCGAACGGATGGATATTTTGGAAAAAGGCCTACATAGTATTTCTGAGTCTCAGAAGAATCTGCATTCTAGGGTAGATAATGAATTGTCCCCCGACACTTTGGGGATCCTCTTTGAAGGACGCTTTGTGGAACTTGAGGCTAGGCTGAATTTTACAGAGAGGGAAATAAGAAGTTGTTGTTCTAATGTAGAAGACAGCATGAGAGGTTTGATGGGATCAGAGCTAGATGGCACAAAAGCTCTTTTTGAAAACAAAATGAGAACCTTGGAGGAAAGACTCATAACTATTGTAGGAGATGTGAATAATGTCAGTTCTGCAGTGGGACTAGATGGAGCTGTAATGCCATTCTTGGAAGGAGAGCTTGCTACCATAACAAGGGAAACCGATGAGAAGATGGAAGTACTACAGAGCCAACTGACTAACTTGGAGAGCACTTGCTTGTTGGGTTGCACTTCCAAATCCAAAGATGTAGAAATCTTCCGTACAGAAATAGAAGACTGCCAAAACAAGAATCAAGATTTACTGTTAAGGATGGACAGCAACTCAGATCTGCTGCAAAAACTCAATATTACTATCTTGGAGATGCAGAGACGGATTGAGGAAGAAACAGCTGGAACTTTGCAAGGTGAGATCACATTATTAAAGATCAATTTGAACACCATGACTAAATCTCTCACTGGGCTGAAGGATTCTGTTTCCCAGTACTCCGACTCAGTACTGCATGTTAACTCATCCTTGGATGATCATGAGCGCAAGATAGAAGATGAGGTCCATTCACTTCAAGAAATGATCAGTAATCAAGATTCCCAGCTTTTCTTCAGTAACAAGCGTGTCTTGAACCTAAAGGGAGACCTTGAAAGGCTGAGATCCAGGATTATCAATGACTTGAGCAACTGCAAAAGTTTGGCTCTCGGCCTGCAGAAAGAAGTGCTCCAATTCGATGACCGTGTGGCCCAAATAGAAGATACGTGTGGCAAACTGGGTGCTGTGACAGGAAGCCTGGAACACATCAGAAATGAACTGGAGAACAATGCAGGAAGTATGTGGGGTTACATGAATCATATTAACAAAACTTTAGCTACACACTCTGAGGAAATAACTGTGCTCAAGAATAACTTGTTGGATTGCCAAGCAAAAGTTACAGAACTCTCTGAAGATGTTGGTCTCCTAGAAGGCAAGCTGACAAACAACCAACATTAGTTTATATTGGGTCCAAAGTATACCTAACTTATATCATACAGACTCCAAAGAGATGGTACCAGGATTTTTGTTTTATTTTGGTTTTCAAGAGGGAGAAGGTCACTAAACTTTAAAAGCTGCTATAGTCCTTTCCCTGATTTCTTCGGTATGTTTTTTTTTAAACTACATTTTAAGTATGTTTGTCGTTAACTGTTCTTTCTACAGATATTTAACAACTATACTTAAGTAGCAAAATGCCTTCCCATATTTCAGGTCAAACGATATTTAGGTTACATTTCCAATACATAGTTCAGTTCAAGAGGAAACTGGAGACAGATCTTTTTTTATAGAATGGTTTCTTTGCTTTGGGAATAAATCAAAATCTAATACTTAAGGACTGAAACAAAGAAACCCAGTATCTGCCAGTTTTATTCATCTACTGGAAGAGAAACTCTTTTCAGAGGCCATAGTACAATACCTAGAGTCATGTGAAGGCTCTGATTTAAGATAAGACTTCCTCCACCCATTTTATATAAATCCCCCCCCCAAAAAAATCTCCAAAATATGGGCTTGAATTCTACATGATTGCATCAACTGATACAAACTTATAGGGTATTCATGTAGGTCAACGGCATGATAAGAGTTGTAAAAGATAAAAGAATGCCCTTGTACAGAACATACTTTCCCTTTTGCATTGTCCTACAATAATCAAACTGAATTTTTCAAGCTGATATTCTCAATAACTGTGCAATCTGACTTTGCATGAAGGATGATAAGGTCACTGAATTAGATCCAATAGGTAGTTTGTTGCAATTCTAGGAACAGAAGAAAAGAAAGCACACATAATATAGTGTTGTAGCATTACTATACTGTTGCTTCCTATTTTTGTATAAAAATGGAAGAAGTTCAGTTGCACAAGATAATTATTATTGTACCCATTGTATTTTAATCTGATTTCTTCTTGGGCACTCTTGAACAACCAGTTCCTCTTCTATTTATTCTCACTTATTTATTTTTGAGAATGATAGCCTTCAAGAATGATTCCTTTCAAAGGAATTGCTCTTAAGATAATGTAACAGCAATGGCATGTAACAATCCAATTTAATTTAGTTCACATTTACTTCATTTCAAATCAATCTACAAGTAGAAGCAAATATTCTTCAAAATTCATATTATTCCCCGTTCAGCAATGCAGAACACTTTTGTGTGTGTATGCATGCGTGGGAAACATGCATAAAAATACATACATTAATTGAAAGTATCACACAAATATATTTTAAGTTATAATGCATAATGTCATATAAAAATTGTAAGCAATATGGATAAAAATATATTTAATTTTAAAAGGAATTTGTTTTGACCCAAATTGAAGCAGAATCGTGTTAAACTAAATTTAAAACTGAGAAATAAGTAGTCAAACTTAATGTATTAATCCATTGCTATGTGTGACTACCACTAGATGCTCAAGAGAATGTCAGAAGTCCTCAGCTGTAGACAAACCTCAATAAGAACATTCTGTTCTGCAGCTGAAATTCTCTTCTATGCTTTTCTCCTATGATTGGACCCATTTTTACATTTTTGCTCCCACATGAAGACTACATGAAATCACTGGGCAATTCGCATAACATTACATAGTGGCTAGAGAAAATGTTTCATATGAAGGGCTTGCCATGCAGTAATTAAGTCAAATTAGATTGGCTCTCATGTGATAGTTACAAGTCATTGGGTTCAGAGTAGAAAAGTGTTCTGGATCCAGCATGGGTTTTCTAATAGTACCTGTGACTGTGACTATTTTAAGGAACTGATGACACACATACAGCCCACACTAGGTACCTGAAGGGCCCTTCCTCCTTTGGATCCAAAAAGCTGCTCTTCAACTTGCGACTCCTAAAGAGCTAGTTCCTACATGTACCTTCTTCCCACAATATACAACTATGTGTTTGGTGGATTGATTTTGTGCGATCAAGCTGGCCTCAACTGTTAGCAGACACATAAATTAACATTCTCTAGAATGAGCTGTCACTGACCTGGTCCTTCAAGATTTTCAACCATCACTCCTATAATCAAGTCTACCCACTTTATTGTTGGTTGTTCTCTTTCCTTCCACCTCTCCCAGCATTAGAGATTTCTGAAGTGATCTAATCCTTGCATAAAGTGTCCAAAATATAATCTGAACCTGGTCATTTGTGCCTCAGGTGAGAACTCTGGATGGAATGCTATGCTTGTGTTTATATGAAGAAATGGAAGTGTAAGCAAGACTGTACATAGTTACTGCAGCAGGGTGTATTTTTTCCTTTTCGGCTCATTTCCTAACCCTTCCCTTAGCTAATTTGCAACCTTTAACCTAGTCAACTGCTAATGAAGATGATCAAGAGATGCTTTCCTAGTATAGCTGTATCATTCTTCATAGTTAGCCTGCCAGTTCCTTTTCTTGTTCTTCCCTGGACAAAATGATAATTGTGTCACATTTTTCTTTTTTGGTTTAGCAGAGGGCAATCGGGAATGATCTACTCTTACTGATGAATGGTACCTAAGAAATTAATCCAAATTAGTAATTTTATTTCAGTGCACAAAAACAAATTTTAATGCCCCTTCTGAATAATGAAATCAGAGCAAAATTAAAAATAATTAAGAAACTCTTAATGAAAATGAAGAAATTATCCTAGTGCATCTTGTATTTCTCTATAGGAATTTATGTTTATTGGGGGGGGGGAATCTTTCCAGCTTAACCTTTGCTCTAAACCAGGGTATATTCCATTCACCTTTTCCTTTCTTTTACCTTGCAGGGTTGATGTAAAGATAATGTGCATGAAATGCTTTGAACACTTGAAATCAGCTATGTAAATGTTGCTTTTATTAAACTGAGAAAATATATCACATTATGTCAGACAGTATAAACATATGTACTGAAAGTTATCCCACCCAGAAAGAGATTTGAAACCTTTATGTTATTTGTCTTCAAATTCCAAGTCCCCCAACAGAGCAATTAAGTGTTATATTGCAAGGTTGTTCTGCAAGCAGAACAGGATGGCCCTATCATCAGGGAAGATTCAATAGCTGCTTCAGGCAGCAGATCAGGGCATTAATGTATTGATCTCAGGACTTCATCCAATGCCTTCCTGATGCAAATCTAAGAGACATCCACTATCTCAGCGTTACAATCTTAAGAGCTGAAGTGGTGCAGTGGTTAGAGTGCAGCACTGCAGGCTACTTCAGCTGGCTGCTAGCTGCAGTTCAGCAGTTCAAATCTCACCGGCTCAAGGTTGACTCCGCCTTCCATCCTTCCGAGGTGGGTAAAATGAGCATCCCCAGATTGTTCAGGGCAATATGCGGACTCTGTAAACCACTTAGAGAGGGCTGTAAAAGCACTATGGAGTGGTATATAAGTCTAAGTGCTATTGCTATATTCTGAGGGCTCCTCAGATAAAGGTGAGATTGCAATTCCATAGTGTGGTTTGTTGCTTTGGTTCCTTACTCTGAGAAGCCCCAATATGGCATCTAATAGCTTTCCTCCAGGCAACAGCAACCCTGTAGAGCATGGCTGTCAAACATGCGTCGTTACAGTGCCATCACATGATGTATCGCAACTTTTTTCCCCTTTGCTAAATCAGGTATGGGCATGGCCAGCGTGTGACGCATCCGGCCGCGAGTTTGATAGCCCTGCTGTAGAGCATACGCGAGACCCAAATAATACATTAAAAGTAAATTTAAAAATGCATTCAGCAGGTGGCGTGTGAGTCACTATGGCAATCCATCTAGGATGCTGAAGAGTTCAGTGTCTTGATGAGATGGGAGGGAGAAATTGGCAAGCCTTGTGGCACAGGCCAGTAGTTCGACAAGACCTGTATGTTCTGGGCCTCCCCTGAAATAGAACTGACAACTTCTCCACTCTTCTCTTTTGTTTGAATTTAGTGGCATTAGTTATGAGTGATATGTCCTGAACTCCACTTTTTTCTGAACATTCTGCATTCCCTGTGAAAAGGGCACCGGTTTCACTTTTCCTCCTCTCTTTTGTGTAACAAATTCTCATGGGGCGGTGGTGTGGAGAGGTTGGAAGTTATTAGTGGTTTCATAATCAACGTTTTTGGGCCTGGCAATTGCTCTTATTGTATATACATTTACCAGACGTAACTATAACTGGTTTCAATTAAACTTACGCTTAAGTTATCTAGGATTTTGAACATGAAGTATAGTTCGGCATTCTGCGTTGAAATGTCCACATTCTATGAAAAAAAAATTAGAGGCACTTATGAAATTATAGTTGCATCCTGTTTACTTCCAGGCATTGGAGGTTCAAAAGTTCTAATGTGGAGGTTGCATTTGGTTTATCATTAATGAATAGGCCAATTTGACAGTTATGTAGCCTTTTCCCTTTTTCTTGGAAGTATTATTACATTACCTTGTTTTCCCCAAAATAAGACATCCCGTGATAATAAGCCCAATTGTGCTTTTGAGTGCATGGCAATAAAGCCAAGATAAGACAGGGTCTTATTTTCAGAAAAACATGGTAATTCTTATCACATGCTATTGGAGTGACCTCTAGTAAGTATTACAGTACATTACAGTACATAATATACCTTCCATTTGTCAATTCCAGACTCCAAACTTGTAGTTAATCTGTTTTCAGACTGCCAATTTACAAACTATTATTATTATTATTATTTTGCTGAGGTTTTCAAGAAACGGCATTATGTCAATTGTGAAGAAGGTTTCAAATTTATTTGTTGTTTCTGGTAGGTTGTGGCCATAAGTGTAACAATAATGATAACGTTGTTTAATCTAGTTTTTTTTCAATGTACATTTGTTGATGGTTAAATCCGAACTATTGTTTCTATTGGGTGTAGGGGAAGAGAGGAAACTCTCACCAAGGTTTTCCAGAATTGTATTACTCTAACATCTTTTAAAGATAAATTCTCAGAAAACTATATAGACATTTAAGATATTGAGAAAATGGAACAAAACTGACCAGCAATGTTGTTTTCTGGATCATTGGTAAAAAAAATGGAAGAGATGTGTAGATACAGATATGGTCTGTACTTTACAGCAGTAACAATGTTTCGATTTGCAAAATCCACTCACGCCATTACCAAACCAAGAGGGAATTACACCACTGAAAGGAAGTTTAGGTTTGTATAAAATTCTCATATGTGCACATTTGGAATCAATCACTATAATTTAAACAGAAGAACATCTCTTCATTATGGGCAAGCCCATGACCAGGTATTTTGGATGCTTCTCTTTTTTTTTCCCCCTCTGGGAATTCAAAGCCCCTCCATTCTTTGATTCTTTTAAACTAAGGATTAGATTGGACAAAGCTTTCAAAAGAAGATCTTTTTTCCCTCTAAACTAGAATACATCAGCTTTCAGTTTTGGGGACAATGTAAAATTATAAATGTAAAATTTGAAAATGATATCTTAGGTCCTCCAGTCTGCATAGATCCACCATGGCAATTGGTGTTGATTCTTTTATTTAGCTCTTCTGTCTTCAAACCCAAAATCTCAATTATATAACTGGTTTTTTTGGGGGGAAACCTAAATGGTGTGCCCCTATAGTCTCCAGGAGCTGTGTTCAGCCCAATGATATATTAACCGTTTAATATATAATGCAAGACCAAAAACAAACAAACAAATCACATTATGGTTTAGTATGCTAGACCTATTTGTGCAAATCAGATTGATAAACTCAATAATGTTCAAATCCAAATTCAATAAGTGCTGATAAGATTCTGAATGTTACTACACACTAATTTAGCATATTAAAGACTAAGTTATCAAATAAGATACTGTAGCTACTGGTAAGTTTTCAAATGTACAGGATCCTTAAGTATGTACTGTATCTCCTATTCACATCACATGTGATATTAAAATGATGTTTACAGAGTATTGGGATTAAGAACTGGAAGTCATTGTTGCTTAGGATACCACATAGCAACAGGGATGACAAAGAGAACTCTTTATGTTACCTGCTATCTGATCCTTTAAACTGATGCCAAAGTTTGAGGTTTGGAATTCCCACATATCTAGCATATATTTCATAATGAGAAATCATCTTCTCTTGATAGAAAACAAGGTATGTATAATGAAGACCATAAGAAATTCATAGAGTGTTGCAAAAAGATGGCTCATAGGACATAAGTGAAATATCACTTTTGTTCACTGTACCCCCACCTATATTTAACAAAGGAGGAAATCATGTGCGAAGTAGAACAAGAATCCCCTGAATCCAATTTTCATTAAATTCACAGCAAAAACTATAAATGGTGGGTTGGTGGGGGGGAGAGAATCTGGACAAATATTACAAAATGAGTGATTTTTGCTTATTGCACTTTTCCCATCTTTATTATTGGTGCTCTTGTGATAAAGAATATATAATCTTGATTTTCAGAACTACCCGTGCTAATGGACATTTGGTGTTTTGACTATATATCTAACAAAGACATTATAAAAAATATCATCATAGTTCATAAAGTATAGCATTTGGCGGCCATTAATTACCATAAGGTCAAAGATTACATTTTTCTTTATCGTCATGATTTAAAATATCCCATTGCAGCAAGTCACAGTATTCATGCCTGTTGCTACATTCAAGAGACAGAGTTCAGGATTCAGAAGAGGCTCTGTAAAACCAAGTTCAGAGCAGCAGTAGAGAATTTTTTTAAAAAAAAAGTCATAGTACTTAGAAGCAATGTTTAAAGAATGTTCTACTCACTTCAGATAATACTGTAATCAACAAAAGCAGTAGAGAACTGAAATCATTATGGAAAAGGTATCATTTCTTTTAGAATACTAATATCTAGGTGAAACGTGGTTTGGTAGGTATTAAAGCACTGTACTGGTGAGTAGAAGAAAAATGTTCTGTATAAGCTGCTTATCTTCAAGCCCCTGAGTTGTGTTGACCCCCAAACACTGGGGGATGGAAGGCATGGAGACTTTCAGCCCTTATTAACATCATGAAGCCTATTTGCAATCTAAGAATCAAGACTAGAGTACAATCACTTAAAAGACATCACAAATACACGTTTCTTGAAAATACAGCTTATAAATTAAATCTTGGGTTGAAAGATCACATTTCCACACGAGAGGCTCCTTGCTACAAACGTACGTCTTTTCTAAAGGCTAAGCACCTTGCATAATGGATGAGAAACAGCAAGCTTTATTTTGCTGCTCATCCATCACATGGGAGGACCAAAAGTTAAGGATTCTTTGGGAAACAATGTTGATTCTGAACAATCAGACGAAGTCTTCAAAGTCTACGGTAGGCAGGGTTGATTTCCAGTAAGAGAATTGGCTGAAGTCTGGAGAAGCCATGGAAGCAACCACATCTTTGCCAATAGGTGGAAAGAGAAATTCTACCACCTCACCCAGACGCTCATACCTAGAAGAAAGAGGACAGGGACAATTAAAAAGAGCAAGCATCTTTTCTTGCGCATTTGTAGTTTCAGCATACTCAACTTTCCTGAATTTTATTGAGGGAGCAAATACAGGGAGTCCTGGTATAACTGGTGGCTTAGCAACTGTTCAAAGTTATGCTGGACACTCTCCCCTCCCCCCCCCAAAAAAACACAGGCACTTATGATCTGGATTTGAAGTTAGGATGGCTGGCTCCCTTCTGAAGTGATCACATTTTGGGCGCTTGGCAATTGGCTCGCATTTATAGCTGTTTGCATCATCTCACAGAAACATGACTGTGATTTACATTTTTTGCCAGAAACTGGCTGACAGACCTGGAAGCCATCTTTTACAGTTAGGCCTTCAGGCCTGCCATATTTTCTACTGTGGGAAAATGGGAGGGGAGATTGTATAGAGTATGGGTGATATATAGTCAAAATAATATTCTTTTCTCAGAGACTCAAGGCCACGGTGCCCTGCAGCTGCCATGAGGGGACTGGGAGGCATCTCCAGTTTTGGATGGTGCCTGATTGGATCATGTGATAGACATGTGGGTACTGAGCAGGGACTTGAACTTTCATTTGGGTGAGGAAAACCTGGAAGCTTTCAGATTCGGGTTTTCCCAGATGTGCCAATATGACATCTTCAATAAAATGGAACTTTGAGGAAACTCAAGCCTTGGAGTCTTCTTTCATTAGGGGTGTTACTTGGAACCCTGATATTTACTTCCTGTTTCTGGCAAAAAAACAACAGTAAACACTCATTGCAGATAATCAGTTTATTTAATAACTATTGCAAAAAACATCATAAAATTAGATCAATCTCGTGGTGACCCATTTGATGACCAGCATTATCTATGACTATAACGTTAAAGCATTATATATGACTATAACGTTGGGTTTGATTACTCTCATAAGTCGATGGCTACCTGTATTTACTTATGTTATTTATTTATTATTTTAATATTAATAAATGCATTTAATTATACCCTTATGTCCACCCCATGCACATACTCCTGAACTATGGATCTCCCATTAAATCCATTACAGAGATTTCCAGTAATAGTGGTAACCTATAATAAGCTTTTTTGGTTGTGCTATCATTTTAAAGAACACTCGCCATATAATGCACGGATATCGCCATTAATGCTTCCATAATTTCCTCTATACATGCTGGTGCACAGTCTTGAGGGCCAGGCTACATGTGGCCTTTGAAATTATATCCAAAGCGCCTTCAAAAGTTGAAAAAATTATATCTGCAAATGCAACAGAATAGGGAAATAGTACTCTGTTTAAGTTTAATAAAACCTGAACTTATAAAATATATGTTTAAATTCCACAAATTTTATTTTTGCCCTGGCTATTTCTACTTTTTAGAAATAGCCAGGGCAAAAATAAAATTTATGCAATTTAAATGTAGATTACATTTTATAAGTTCAGGTTTTATTAAAGTTTTCTCCCAATTGTGTTGGATTTGGATGGAGTGCTGTGGATACTTTTTAGAATGTATCCAACAGGATTGCATTCAAATCCAGCACAATTAGGAGAAAACTTTTAAGTCTGTGCTGCATATGATTGAATGATGCTGGTAGAGGTGAAAGAATGTTTCAGCTAAATCACATGATGAAAAAAGAAACCCTCTCACTGCATAGTGTTTGTCTATATTAGCCACTTATATGTTTTGCTTAAGCAAATTGTTCTTTACCACCTCAAGGTGCTTTACAGACTGCAAAAGAATGGGCTGATTTGCAGACTTACGTGGACTTGGTAATTTTTATGAGTTCCTGAGTCAATTCCCCTTTGGGGTTTACAGTGAATATGCGGGATTCTGGCAATGCCACTTCCTTGTAGGCATAGACATCCTGTTGAAGAAATCACAAGCAGCATATATGTCAAAATCATCATCATCATCATCATCATCATCATCATCATCATCATCATCACCAAAGGTAAGAAATTCCCTTTATACATTCCCTTTACACATGTTCCTCATTCAGCTGATACTCACAGTTAGTCTGTTCCCAAAAGCAGCATGGAAAGGTCGGCTATTGGAACCAAATAAATTTTGGATATCTGTCAGACAGGCAATTTTGAACACTTCTGGCTTCTTCTCAATCACTTCCCTATAAAGTGGATAAATAGTTTAGAAAGGTGAACTGCTTTTCCTTCTTGATCAAGTACTGCATTCAGTTTTGGTCGCCATGATGTAAAAAAGATGTCGCGACTCTAGAAAGAGTGCAGAGAAGAGCAACATAGATTATTAGGGGACTGAAGGCTAAAACATATGAAGAACAGTGGCAGGAACTGGATATGTCTAGTTTAATGAAAAGAAGGACTAGGGGAGAAATGATAGCAGTGTTCCAATATCTCAGGGGTTGCCACAAAGAAGAAGGAGTCAAGCTATTTTCCAAAGCACCTGAGGGCAGGAGAAGAAGCAATGGGTGGAAACTAATCAAGGAGAGAAGCAACTTAGAACTAAGAAGAAATTTCCTGACAGTTAGAACAATTAATTAGTGGAACAAAGTTGCCTGCAGAAGTTGTGAATGCTCCAACACTGTAAATTTTTAAGAAGATGTTGGATAATCATTTGTCTGAAATGGTATAAGGTTTCCTACCTAAGTAGGGGGTTGGACTAGAAGACCTCCAAGGTCCCTTCCAACTCTGTTTTCTATTCTATTCTATTCTATTCTATTCTATTCTATTCTATTCTATTTCTATTCTATTCTTTTCTATTCCATTCTTTTCCATTTCATTCCATTCCATTCCATTCCACTCCATTCCATACTTACAGATTTAAAAAGAGGAAGAAGTAATGATAAAGTATTAATTTCCAGCATCTGTTTATCAAGGTAGGTTGTAATTCCAGATGCAAACCAAAATTTTAATTTACAGCTTTCATCTTTCTCCTTATGTGGAATCATAATCAATGAATTCCAGGTGATACTTACTCAAACATCACATCCTTGTACTACCAGGCATCTCTATCATCTCTGAACAAAGCAGTAAAACAGTGCTCACACAAATTAAGACACCCACCCTCTACCATTACATGGAAATACTTACCTGTGAAATGCTGAGAAGAGGCTGCTAGGTGCAAGCAGGATCGGTCCTTTGGGGAGCATCCAACCTTGGTCATTGACACATTCTAAATATCCTTTGGTGATGTGTGCCATGCCAATAGCTCTGGCTGAACAATAGAGAAACTTGTACCCGTTGCTAGAATGGAGATGATACCAAATGGAATGAAGCCATTTTGCTGAACAACCCCCTCATCTGACCTCCCCCTCCAATAGGAATGGTACAACTGCTTTTGTTCCTGATCAGCTCTTACAGCTGGGTCAAAGAGACACACATTTGAAAGCAATAGAACAAAGTAATATTCTTTGAGTATTTCTAAAAGACCTCTCCACATGCCTGGCTAGGAGGCTCAATGACTAAGATGTTGAGCTTGTCGATCAGAAAGGTCGGCAGTTCGGCGGTTCGAATCCCTAGTATAGGTCTCCTGCATGAGCAGGGGGTTGGACTAGATGACCTCCAAGGTCCCTTCCAACTCTGTTACTGTTATTATTATTATTATTAAATACAGGTAGTCCTCGACTTACAGCAGTTCATTTAGTGACCATTCAAAGTTACAACAGCACTGAAAAAAGTGACTTATGACCATTTTTCACTGTTACAACCTTTGTAGCACCCGCTTGATCATGTGATCAAAAGTCAGATGCTTGGCAATTGGTTCATAATTATGACCGCTGCTGTGTCCCAAGATCAAGTGATCTCCTTTTGCAACCTTTTGACAAGCAAAGTCAATGGGGAAGCCAGATTCACTTAACTGTGGTGTTACTAACTTATCAACTGCAGTGATTCACTTAACAACTGTGGCAAGAAAGGTCGTACAATGAGGCAAAACTCCCTTAACAAATGTCTTACTTAACAACAGAAATTTTCAGCTCAATTGTGCTCGTAAGTCGAGGACTACCTGTATATTTGTTCTTTCAAATGAATATTTCCCTATTTCCAGTGTCCTTTCCTGGTCAGCATTAGGCCACTGTCCTTCCCCTTGCAAAATCCCAACAAATCTGGGATCCTATAATAGATATAATGTTGCCAATCAAATTTGATTTCCCACCACAGTGTCACTATAGGCAAATAAGGTGAATAAATTACTATGAAGACAATATTCTATGTCATATTGGTTATACAGGCAAAGTCTCCTGCAAGTTAAACTCAACTCCTGGAGAATTTTTGGACATATAGCTTGGAGCTGTATAGATATGGTTTGTCATAATCATCTTCTTTTTTTGTCAATTTCCCAGTCTAATCTAGCCCTGGGATTTCCTGTTGGCATCCCAACCAAGTACTAAGTAGGTCCAACCCTACTTTGTTTTTGGGAGGATTTGCTCAAATCAACAAAATGTTGCAATTTGGCTAATTGTTTTAATCATGTAGTTGATACCAAAAGCAATATCTTCAGGACAATGCTTCCTAAATAATTGAATAGCAACAAATGCTGTTGTTGAAGGCATTTTTAATAGATTTTAATAATCCTCTTGCGCGAGCAGCAGGCGAGCATGTGCACGTGGGCTCCATTTGCATGAGTGGTGGGCGTGTGTGCTAGCCGCTTGCACAAATGGAGCTGCGCTTGCTTGTTGGCCACTCACATGGAACAAATTCCCCCCCCCCACTGGTCTGCAAAGCCAGAAAGATTGGGGAACTCAGACTTAGAGTACATAACTGATTAAGGCAGGCAGATGCAGGATTTTCAATAGCTACTATGCAAGAAGATTCTTTAAACATTTTTAATAATGTTAAAGTTTCAAAACAGCAAAAGAAAAAAAATATTTCAATCTTCATGAGATATGCATCACAAGTCATCAGTCAGTTTCAGTGGTGGGATTCAGCCAGTTCGCACCAATTCGGGAGAACCGGTTGTTAACTTTCTAAGCAGTTTGGAGAACCGGTTGTTGGAAGAAATCTTATTTTGTTTTTTTCTACTTTACAGGGCTAACCCCTAAGGAAGGCAGGAAGGAAATATTCTGGTGTTGTTTCTAGCCTAATCTTTATTGCCCTGTTTACAGAAACTGCCTCTCTGGTTAACCCTTATTACATTGTAACAGCTAAGGCGAAGCGCCAATCAACGTGAGTGACATTGAGTTGGCCATGCCCACACGGTCACATGACCACCGAGCCACACCTACCCAGCTGGTCATTAGGGCAGAGAACCGGTTGTTAAATTATTTGAATCCTGCCACTGGTCAGGTTATATAACAATAGCCTATCTAAAAATATTTTGCTTGCTGGCATATGAATAACTAAACGACAGTTTAAGCCAATTGACAAGTTAATAGAGCTATTGTTGCACATGGACTTTTATCTTCATATCTCTGAACTACCAATACTTACAGATGGATTTTATGGAAGAGCTTAGCGATGCCTTGATGAGTCCAGTCTTTCCCAAGATGTGGCAAGATATGCCCTAGAGCATCAGACCTGATGAGGGGAAAAAAGGATATATATGATGAACTCTGCACAATGTAACTGCAAATTGTCCTATAAGTAAAGCAACAGTGATAGCAGAATGTTCATAACTGGACATGCAGAGACATGTTTCAAGACCACCTATTCTAACAGGGGTGTTTTTGGTTTTGGTTTCAGCCCTCTAAGAGCTTAAGCAAGCCAGCTTGTTTCTATTTTTCCCCAGAATGATCACTGAAGCCACAGAACATGTTTAGTCCATATAAGCCAGTGGTGAAATCCAAATTTCTTTACTACCGGTTCTGTGGGCGTGGTGTGGTGGGTGTGGCAGGGGAAGGATACTGCAAAATCTCCATTCCTACCCCACTCCAGGGGAAGGATACTGCAAAATCCCCATTCCCTCCCCAGTCCTGGGGGAAGGATACTGCAAAATCTCCATTCCCTCACCAGTCCTGGGTGAAGGATATTGCAAAATCTCCATTCCCACCCCACTCTGGGGCCAGCCAGAGGTTATATTTGCCAGTTCTCTGACCTGCTCAAAATTTCCACTACCAGTTCTCCAGAATCTGTCAGAACCTGCTGGATTTCACCCCTGATATAAACTATGTATTTTGAATTGAAACAGGTTGACCCTTAGATTTTGTTTTTGATTTTGTTTAACTTGCATAAATCCCTATGCCAGTCTAATTTTTTCTGCAATCCTTGCCATGTCCCAGGAGCATTCATGACATCTATTGCTACCTCTCTCCTTCCATTGCCTAGAGCAGCAATTCTCAACCTTAGCAACTTTAAGATGTATGGACTTCAACTTCCAGAATTTCCCAGCTAGCAAGTCTACATATTAAAGTTGTCAAGTATGAGCAACACTGGCTGAGATTTTCAGTATCCTCTTCTTCTTGTTGTTCTTCTGTAGGCATAGGTGAGATGTATCTACTCCTTTCTCCCATTCTAGCAATTATAATAACTTGCAAACACATTTACAGTTACTGGAAAAAATACTCAGTTTTTTTCCAAGTAGTAGTAGTACTAGTAGTACTACTAGTACTACTACTAGTAGTAGTAGTAGTAGTAGGCTAGTACTAGTACTAGTACTAGTAGGCTAGTACTAGTACTACTAGTAGGCTAGTACTACTAGTAGTACTACTAGTAGGCTATTCTTTCACCATCATAAAGCAATTGTTAAACACTCAAGGAAAACATGCGTTATAGCTAGAAAGCTTTCCCTGAAAACAATCATTCACGTGTCTTTTGTAAACTGTGAAGTTGGGGGATCTGAAGTTCAATTAGATCATAGATTAAGTAACTAGTGGACTCCAAGAGATTTCTGCACATTCTCTACAAGCTTGCAAGGCTGGCAAAAGTATAGACAACTACAGATCAATTTTAAACCCCTTTGAGGAAATGGTAAGAGGAAATAATGGTGGCATGGAAGAGCCCACAGTCAAGTATTACAGGAAGCATTGCCAGTGGGAATCTACCTGGTGATGGTGCCGTCAATATCAGAGATCACCACCTTGTCATACCAATTCCATAAGTAAATGTTAGCTTCACAACGACATGTGCCCTGGTACTGAGTGGTCACACTGAACACAACCTCATTGGGGCCATCCCTCAGGTTCAGCTTTTTCTACAGCAAAAGAAGAGGAAAAAGAGGCAATTACAATATCTTTATTTAGAGCATGGCATTTCTCAGAGCTGTTTTGTTAGTTATACATCTAATTTAGAGGTGCCACAGAATTCAGTAATGTTTGCTTTCAAATAAATGTGAACACAAGGATAACGTCATTCTTCTTTCTTCGCTCTCCAAGCAATCAGACATAATATAGCAACTCATCTGTCCATCGCAAATTTGCTTCTCTCAAATCTTTGCAAATCCTTCAAACTATTTGGAAAAGTGAAGCTACTACACCAAAGAGTCTTCTTTGTGGCTCAAAAATTATTTAATTTACAAAGTCACAATTTAATTGAAATTAGGATTTTAAAATATCTTGATGTTAAAGTATTAAATGCATATTAGAATAATTCTCAATTGAATTGATGCTCATATAAAAAGAACAAAAGGAATTGATGCTCATATTTGGTTATGCCCCTAGTGACTATCTACTTTTCACTGAAAATGAATTAAACAAAATGGTTCATCTTGAGAAAGACTTTGTTATATATTATCTCTTCTTAATAAACTGTGAATTTCAAAATAGAGATATTTCTTTTAATTTGACTTTTTAAAAAAGTAGAGCTGTATAACCATTTCCAAAACTAAGTATTGTAGTACTCATGACCTATTTCCAAAGCACTGAACGGCGCCTATTGACTTTTCATATTGAAGTATTATTTTTAATACCATTTAAAGCAAATTCAGATTTGGTCTTGCTTCTTATTTTGGAGGTTGTGGTCAAACTTGCCATTCAGATATGGCCCCAAATTGTGCACGCCTAAATTATTTTAGTCTTTACTTCACTGATATTCTCCCCATCCTTTAAGATCTCAAAGTGACTTACATGGAGCCATCATTTATTTTATCTGCATGATGCAATGGTGTACTACATTAGGTTAAGAGAAAGTGTCTGGCGCAGAGGTCCCCCATGAGCTCCATAACTGATTGAGGATTTGCACCTGGATTTTGGTCATCTCAGTTCAATGTTTTACCTACTGGAGAACTGGTATGATGTAGTAGTTAGAGCAAAGCTAGGGAGATTCAGTCAGGGAAGCTCACCGGTGACTTGACTTTGGGTCAGTCACTTTCTCTCTAGTTAAGCATCTTCCAGGAATGGAGAAAAATTGGAAGAAAGAGTTACTTTTAGGCTCTTGGATCAAAAAAGAAATGTACATTTTATGAATAAATAAATAATACTACTGTATACCACTTTGGAAAATAATTACTGATGATCAGTTAACAGAGAAAAAACTTGGCCCACAAAATTTCATCACCTACTCATATTTTAAACTACACTTCCAAATGCCCAGTATGCTGCAACATTTCTTAACTTTAAGGGCCAAACTCTGGGGGGGTTTTTTTCCAACATGCAACTCATAACTGAGAAGTTTGAACAGTAACTGTGAAGTCCACCTAAGAGGAATGCCAATTAGATAGTGTGCTTTGGCAGCCCCTCTCTGAACAGAAAGTTCTCTTCTGAATCAAACAGGAATATAAAGAAAAGAAAATTCAAAGCTACATACAATTTCATCAGAGGAGAGTCTTAAGGACTTCTTGTAGGTTGGGAGAAATTTCTGTGTAATAGCATCTGGTATGGATCTGTCTCCTTGATGGGAGGATACAGCATCTTCATCACTGGAGGAATCATTTTGTCTCCTATGGTTCACAGGACCAAAATAAATTGTCAACATAAAAGAGGGTAATGGCCAAGAAATATGGGTCAAGTCCAGTGGTGAAATCCAAATTTTTTTACTACCGGTTCTGTGGGCATGGCTTGGTGGGCATGGTATGGCTTGGTGGGCGTGGCTTGGTGGGCATGGCAGGGAAAGGATACTGCAAAATCTCCATTCCCACCCCACTCTGGGGCCAGCCAGAGGTGATATTTGCTGGTTCTCCGAACTACTCAAATTTTCCACTGCCGGTTCTCCGAACTGTTCAAAATTTCCGCTACTGGTTCTCCAGAACCTGTCAGAACCTGCTAGATTTCACCCCTGATCAAGTCCCATTGTGTGAAATAATACTCATTGAGGAAATAAATCCTTATACAGTACCTATGATTTTTAAAGGAATAAAGGTTATCACCTAAGTTACCATAATTGATTTCTTGCCAAATATCTTTATTTTACCACTAAACTACCTCATCCAAACATCTTTAGGCCATTCAATGCAAAATAATATGACATAGTTCCATGACAACTCTAATATTCCAAAGACCAAAGACTAGCAGGTCTAACAGGGAGGGACAGAAATCAATAGATTGGCTCCCAACCCTGGACACCAAAGTAAACATTCTCTTAATGTACAATAAACTCTTAACATACAATATTCTTCCCATTTCCCATTTATCTATAAAGAAATCCATTAAACATTGTCATTTCAGTCCAAATGTCAGAAAAACTCCATTACGGCCAAACTTAATGGTTAGATTAGAGATAGCAACATCTCTATTTTAACTTTGATCAAATAAACCAACTTTGTATTTCTTCCTCTTACTTCTAATAATCTTGAACATTAGTCCTTTTAAATCATGTTGTAGAACTTGATTTCTTTTCATATTTTTCCCTTCTCACAAAACTCTTCAAATTTTAACAACTCTCCTTTGTAAATCCAATATAGAAAAATTATCCAGGTTACTCTGCTGGTTTGCCATTTATGACAAATTCAGATATCTGCCAATTTCTTTTGTATGTTCAGTGTAGCATCTTTTTCCATCTAAATCTTGTAGCTTGTCATTTTTAAATCCACTTTCAGATCAGTCTCAGCCTTGTCTGGTTAAATTTGTTTTTTTTTCCCATAACATCTTTGAAATACCCATGTTTCCCTGAAAATGAGACTGGGTCTTATTTTCTTTTGGGTCCCAAAATAAGCACTAGGACTTATTTTCAGGGTGTGTCTTTTTTCCCTCCCCATGTACAGGAGGTCCACAGAAGTGGGCTGTGGCCACTTGGGCTCCTGCTGCACTTATGTTCTGACCCAGTTCCCAACGACAAACCCTCTGTAGTTAATTAAATGTTCCCTTTATTAGAAGTGCCAGCAACCCTGGCAAAAAGTCTTTCACTCTCACACAGCAGGCTAACAAGTCTTTCAGTGCCTATGGAAAGCAGAGCTCACTCCCTTTCCCCATGAAATGGCCCCACACACCAGGAGTCTCTCTCTCTCCATGCTTATACAAGAAGTACTGAAAAGTGTGCTTGCTTTTTCCCAGCAGCAGACACACACACACACACACACATACACACACACACACACACACACACACACACACACACATTCAGAAGGCACGCCCAACTCTCAGCACTGCCAATTCAAAGGAAGGAGTCTGATAAGTCCCAGACAGGATTCAGAAGTCAGTGGCTGACCAAGGAAGATGAATAGCTGTCTACCACACTGATTCTTCTCTGCCCCCTGCCTTTTATTCCCAGAGCCAGGGTGGGGCTTAGCTAGCAGTGGTGGCTCTTCCATCCCAAGGATCGGCCCATAGATTCTCACTGCTCTCCTCTCCTCTGCCTTCTGCGCATCCGTGCATCAGGCACTGGACCCAGCTGTTCCTCCTCTTCATCAGCCACCTCCAGTCCTGGAAGCTGTGGCCTCTCCATCTGATGGATGGAGGGCTGATGGATGGCCCAGGCTCCGCTTCTGTCTCTATCTCTGACAGCTCCACTCCTTCTTCCCCCTTGGAGCTCTCAGATTGCCTTGACACTAGCCCTGACTCCCATGCCTCCTCCTCATCTGATTCAGCTGCTGGAGTGGCCAGCAGTCGACAGGCCACAACAACATGGTTGCTGCTGCTGCAAGGCAGGTATCAGGGCATGGATGGCCTGGTTGCAGGGGCCTTGAGGTAACCCAGTGCAGGGTGTGTGAGACAGCTCCACCACCCCACGTCACCTCATGGCCACTGCACCTTGAGCAACCAGACAGAATGGGCAGGTGGCGGGCTGCATGGGTTCTTTAGGGCTTATTTTGGGGTTAAGGCTTATAATGAAGTGCATGCATTAAAAAACATGCTAGGGCTTATTTTCTGGATAGGTCTTATTTTCAGGGAAAGACGGTATATAGAAGCAGACTTTAAAATTAACTTCTGGGTCCATTGTTCAAAAATATCCTTCAGTATGTCCAATGTTAAATATTTTGCTTCACTGTGTATTAGGAAGTCATTTTTTTTTCTTCTTTAAATATAATCTTTAGTTCCTTCTAGTTCCCTCTAGTATCCAACCTTCAAAATCTCATACTATCATTTTTATGAGAATTTAAAACAAAAACATTTTCTAATGGAAAGAATTCTTATAATTAACTCCAAAATCTTACTTCAAATCCATCTGGAGGCTTAGTCTACTTATAACTTTCCAAAATCAAAGTTGTAATCAAACTTTGGCTGTTTATTCCAAATGATTATTTAAGTCCTTAAGCTTGCTTTTTTTTTTTTTTTTTTGGTAAAGGATAGAAGGAAACTCATATGGTACTGTAAAACCTGTTGATCCAAAGGTTCCTAACAGCTGAAAAATACTTAACAATTTCCAAAAGTTATTAGTAAAGAAACTATGCAAATGCAGTGTCCTTTTAAAGGCACCAACTGCAGTTTGCGCAAGATGGCTATTCCCTTATCTCCTAGAGCTCTAAACCCACTGGAGACCACATCTTGTGGCCTCACCATGAGAAGAAATTGCATGGAGCACTTGTGGATGATCTCAAGTCCTCCCTTTGTCTGGAGAGGAATTATAAGGAACTGGTTTGTTTGCTACTCACTATTTCTTCCCTGGAAGCCTGTTAATTCTTGAGGACTGACATATTGAAATAGATTTGAAAGAGATTCTACGTTACAAAGATCTAAAAGCAGATAATTGAATTTAAATCCCAAAATGTCCAATCTGTGGTTTTCCAAGACTTTTAAGAAAAACTTGCATTTGGGTCTGATGAACTGAGCTGCAGTCTCAAAAGTGTATATACCTTTTAATAAAATGTATTATCCTGAAAAAGTGCTACAAGGTTCTTTTGAATCAACTCATTTTAATTTGTAGGCTGCCCATCTCAGATACATAATTCTTGGTTGCTAACAAGTGCTATCTTAAAAACAGAATAGAAAAATCAACAAACATAAATGGCAGCTGAAATTAAATAAAAACAACCAATATAGCATTTCAAATAAAATTCTGGTCAAGGAATGGGATGAGAGGGGAAAGAGGGCTAATTATTTATTCCAAATTGTTCAGGTAAATTTTAAATGTGGATTTGTACTAATAAATATTATTTGTCATGCTGAGTTAAGACATTTCAATCAAAACTATTAAATCTCCACTATAATTATTTATTGCCGGATTTATTGCCGGATATGAAACCCTCTTTGTGAGATGGGGTCATGGGGTTCAGATGGGCCTGTTGCTCACGTACCTGTCTCCCTGCCACGTGGCAATGGCCCTGCCCAAGCTACTCGACGTGATAGCCACGGTGGCAGTTGATACACCCAAGCTTATGGTCATGGGTGATTTCAACCTGCCATCCGCTGGTGAGACGTCTGAGATGGCATGGGAGTTCATGGCTTCCATGATGGCCATGGACCTGACCCAGTTAGTTCATGGCCCCACCCACAGGGGGGGGTCACACTCTGGACTTGATTTTTGTCTCTGGCTAGTGGTTGAGTGGCCTTGTTATAGGGGATATAGACATGGAACCCTTGTCATGGTCTGACCACTCGCTCCTTCGCCTAGATCTTTGAACCGCTACACCCTGCCGCAGGGAGGTGGAGCCTACAAGATGGGTCCGCCCCAGGCGCCTGATGGATTCTGATAGATTCCAGATAGAGCTTGGGCCATTTCCTGAGGTTCTAGCACATGACTCGGTCGGGGACCTGGTGGCGGTCTAGGTCTGACCCGGTCCTGATCCCTCGCGGCTCCTTGGTTTACGGAGGAGCTGAGGGAGATGAAGCGCTGGAAAAGACACCTGGAGAGTGGTTGGAGGGCCAGTCTCACCGAATCTGATCGAACACTGGTAAGGTTGCATATTAAGACCTACCTAGTGGTGATAAAAGCGGCGAAGTCCAATTACTTTTCCGCTCTTATTGTGTCATCAGAGAATTGTCCAGCGGCCCTGTTCAGAGTGACCCGCTCCCTGCTTCAACCGGGAGTGCGGGAGGACCCTCTGGAGGGCAGGACTTTCGGACGATATCTGTATGACAAAATCGCTCAGATCCGGCAGGATTTGGACTCTGACTGGGTAGATCCGGGCAGGATGACGAGGAATAGTCTTGGGAATGTTATCTGGGAAGAGTTTGACTCTGTGACTCCGGATGACGTGGACAGAATTTTGGGGAGACTTAATGCAACCACATGTTTACTGGACCCATGTCCCTCCTGGTTAGTACTGGCTTCCCGGGAGGCCTCACAAACCTCGCTTTGTGGCGAAGGTTGTTGAGAGTGTGGTCGCATGACAGTTCCCACAATTCCTGGAGGAAACGTCCTATCTAGACCCGTTCCAGTCAGGTTTCAGGCCTGGGCACAGCACGGAAACAGCATTGGTCACATTGGTTAATGATCTCTGGAGGGCTCGGGACAGGGGTTGCTCCTCTGTTCTGGTCCTATTAGATCTCTCAGCGGCTTTTGATACCATCGACCATGGTATCATGCTGCACCGGTTGGAAGAGTTGGGGATGGGGGGCACCGTGTTACAGTGGTTCTCCTCCTTTCTCTCCGACTGGTCGCAGTTTGTGTTGACAGGAAGGCAGAGGTCGACCTCAAGGCCTCTCATCTGTGGAGTGCCACAAGGGTCGGTCCTCTCATCCCTTCTGTTCAACATTTATGTGAAGCCGCTGGGCAAGATCATCCGTGGCTTTGGGGTGAGATATCACCAGTACGCTGATGACACCCAGCTGTACATCTCCACCCCAGGCCACCCCAGCGATGCCCTTGAATGATGGCCCAGTGCCTGGAGGCTGTACGGATCTGGATGGGGAGGAACAAGCTCAAGCTCAACCCTTCCAAGACTGAGTGGCTGTGGTTCCCGGCATCCCGATATAGTCAGCTGACTCCATCGCTGACTATCGGGGGCGAGTCTTTGGCCCCCGTGGAGAGGGCGCGAAATCTGGGTGTCCTCCTGGATATGCAGCTGTCTTTGGAGGAACATCTGACGGCTGTTGCCAGGGGGACCTTTTGTCAGGTTCACCTGATTCGCCAGTTGCGCCCCTTTCTTGATCGGGATTCTGTGTGCACAGTCACTCATGCCCTCGTCACCTCTCGCCTGGACTACTGCAACGCTCTCTACATGGGGCTCCTCTTGAGGAGCACCCGGAGGCTCCAACTGGTCCAGAATGTGGCCGCGCGGGTAATTATGGGAGCTGCATGACGCTCCCGCATAACACCCCTCCTGCGCAAGCTGCACTGGCTCCCAGTGGTCTTCCGGGTGCGCTTCAAGGTGTTGGTTATCACCTTTAAAGCGCTCCATGGCATAGGACCTAGTTATCTCCGAGACCGCCTTCTGCCACCGACGACCTCCCATCAATCCGTGCGCTCCCACAGAGAGGGCCTCCTCGGGGTGCCATCAGCCAAGCAATGCAGGCTGGTGACCCCTAGGGGGAGAGCCTTCTCTGTGGGGGCACCTACCCTCTGGAATCAGCTGCCCCCAGAGATAAGGAGAATCCAAGACCTCCGTGCCTTCCGCCGTGCCCTTAAAACTTTCCTCTTCCAACAAGCTGGGCTGGCCTAACAAATCCTTTTAAATGATTTTAAATTCGTATGTCTTTTAAATTTTGGGCCAAATCGACATATTTCTTTTTAATCTGTTCTTAATGTTGGTATTATGTGTTTTTATCTGGCTGTACACCACCCTGAGTTCCCAGGAAGAAGGGTGGTATATAAATTTGAAGTAAAATAAAATAAAATAAATAAATAAATTTATTGAAAATACAGCCATGCCCTTAGATATGCCAGATTCAACACAATATCAATAAATCACAACTTACCTCTGAAGAGAAGTGTCCTCCTGATTCTTGCCTTCTTTGTTGGACTTCCTGGCACTGATTTCATGCTACAGATATATAAAAATAACTTCAATTGATATTCCTTAAATACCTATTCAAGCAGTAAATCATCTTTCTCCCATTTGATGTCACCTAGATAAATTGGGATCATACATCCCAGATTTCCCAGTCAGAATGGGAAACCTACCATGTTACAGAAGTTTCATTAAATTAAGGAACTCATTTCTGCTACAAAAATTGGATACAAAGATCGTAGATTTGGCCAAATCTCTATAAAAGGAGAGATGTGTTAGTACCTAATTTGACTAGGGCTAAGTACACCTGACAGAAGTCCATTTCAACTGCAACATTTTGTTTGGAGATCATAGAGGTTTCCTTTCTATATTGCAATATATGTACCTCTTTTCGCCTCCAAGAAAACCACCATCTTCCAACTTTCTTGGGCATCTTCTCTTTCATTAATCTATCAACAGTATTCTGAAACCACAAGAAAGATGAAGAAATGTTATGGTGAATTGGTTTGAATCCAAAAACAGTTCTTTCAATCTTAATTAAGAATCATAATAGTCCCACAATTACTGCGTAATCCCTAACCTCCAAACATGTCATCAATACCAAAAATCTAATTCAAGAATGAAGCAACCAGCCCACAACTTTCAATGTTCCCAAGAATAAGATGTCATAGACGGATATGAACATTGCTGCAATTGGTTCAACAGCGTGAAGAAATTCAGAACAGCAAAAAAATGGAAAGTCAGAAGAGATTTTCAAGCTTCAAGGAGGATGAAGGATGGCACTGAACTACAAAGTCTATTCTGTGGAGTCCTTGGTGGTCTCTCAGCTTGGTTGTTTGCTTGCAGATGTTTCATTAAGAGACTAGATAATATCACCACTAGTACCGAATTTTTCGGAGTATAAGACACATCTTTTTCCCCCAAAAAAGAGAGAGAAAATCTGGGTGCGTCTTATACTCCGAATGTAGACCCGCCCAGCTTCTCAAATGGAGGCTTTCAGAGGCAGGAAAAGGTTTTTTCTGAAAAAGCAAGGCACAGAGCTCACAACCAAGGAATCTGTTGCTAAAATTCACCTTTGGGAACAGCTGATTGGGGGTATTCCAGGAGACCGATCCACCTGCCAATCAGCTTTTTTCTTATTTTCCTCACCAAAAACTAAGGTGTATCTTATACTCCGGTGCATTTTATACTCTGGTGCGTCTTATACTCCGAAAAATACAGTAAGTATGAGATTTGTTCCTTGTTTATATACAGTAGTTTAAGACCCTATTCTGTGGTGAAAATAAGTCATTTACCTGAGAAGGAGGCATATATTTTGAAGTAAAGTAATAAGGTCTGCTTAAGTTGTATGTGGAGAGCTAACAGGCTGGATATTTTCTCTCATTGAAGTCATAGCAAGGTTTTTAAAAAAATTAGACATATTGGGTACTAATTTAAAAGCCAAAATTTTCCAAACTGACAACTTGCTAAGAGGCAGCAGACTTTACAGTGTAGAGTCTGTCCCACTGGGGTGCTTTCTAACTGGCAGAGGATGTGTTCTAAAATATTAATTTGCCAAGAATTTGAGTGTAGAGCAATTTTCCTCAGAAATGGTTCCTGAAAATAAACACAGAGGATTATAAATCTTTATATGCTCAAATGGATATATGCCAGTAGTCTATAATGTTGTGTTACCAATTAGAACTTCCTATACTGGACTTAAGCCTAAGTATCTCTTTTTATTACATTTACTTCTGAACTGGTATTTTTTTTTCTGAATACCTGTCAAACACCTCTAACTTGAATTTACAACTATTTTCTCTCTGTTTGGGAAGACGTCCAATTGCATTGACTAACTTTCTACATTGACTTTCAATAAATCTTTTGTATCGTTGAACAGTATATTGTCTTTATATTAATAATGGTTAGAATTGCATTTTTAATTGCAATAAACACTGAAAGAGACAATTGTTGGGTCAACAATATATAAGAATTTTTTCTGATTTTTTTTTTCCTTTCAAGAACTTCAAGGAAAATTTTCCATTAAATTTGCTTTTCCTGCACAGCTAGGAATTTTATTAAAACAGTTATTGCCATTCTATTTGTTTTAACTACGTACATTTTACTTCAACCAGTTAAAGCTGGTTCTCAAATAATGAACTATGTTTCCTTCCTTCCTTCCTTCCTTCCTTCCTTCCTTCCTTCCTTCATTCCTTCCTTCCTTCCTTCCTTCTATCCATCATTTATCTCCTAAAGCCTGAATGTATTTCCTTATATCAGAATGTTTCCAGGTACAATATAATACATTGGCATAGTATCAGAAATCACACATTGAGGAGATAAGATTTAAAAATAATCCAGGCAAACTAAATATTTTTTTCTGACCCCTATTTCATATTAAGGATAATTTTAAAAAGAGTAAGGCAACAACCTCTGTTGTGTGGCTGTTACCTGGTCCATGATTTGGAAGATGAACAATAAAAGAGATTTTGCTATCCAAAATTGATGATATCATCCCTGACAAACTCAAATACAAGGCAATAGATTTTGGAAAGACTAAATAGAAATGAAGATTTTGATGAAAAGGGTTACGGTGGGAATTGTTAATGGTAAGACTATGTTGCTTAAAATTTACTATTGTATTTTTTCCCCCAATAAATGAAAGGAAAAGTATTCAATGTAAACTACACAATAGAAATTTAATGAAATTTGCAATGTTAAACTTTAATCTATAAACCATATCTTAACTATTAACTATTAAGTGTTTTCTATTGTTAAAATACAAGAAATGGCAAAATGATGAAGGCAGAACTATGAACACCAATGTAGGTAGAAATACTTTCTTTGTAATTTACAATGATATCAAGTTTAACTTGTTTTGCTATTTTATAATACAAATACATACTTTGAACCATAGAACATTTGCAGTAGAGCATCTTACTTCTTTAGTTATCTTACTGTAGCATTTGTTTTTACAGATAACCAATAGCTATTCACACTCTTGGTTTATGCAATTCCGTCCTACTTTTTAAAAATATATGATGAATAAGTTTTATTTGGGGAATAAATCTAATTAATATGTTAACAAGTAACAAGAAAAAATAGTTTGAGCATTATCGTCAAATTCTGGGAAGCTGGTCTACTTATCACATAATTTTATTAGGTCACCCTCCATCAACCTTTTCCTCACTTTCTACTATTATTTTCATGGTTATTAATTTTGAAGATGTATCATTAATACAGTTCGTGTATGTTTTTCTTCTGTTAAGTAGTTTAGCCATCTAATTTGAACATTATAGTGACAAAATTCAGATAGCAGACTGCATTTCACAACTTAGTTAATGATATTTCCAAAAAATATAACTATCATAGTCTCATAGTAAGCTGTCCTATTAAATGTTTTAAGAACTTGTGGGAGTACACAATATGTAGTTACATTTGGATTGGTAAAATGGAATATGGAAAATGGAATATAACTTCCAATCCTAGCATCTAATGCTTGAACAGAAAATTGACACCATGTCCATAAAATATAAGTACCTATCTAGGCAAGTAAATTGTCATTTTTAAAAATTCATCTTACAATGTGATTATCATTCTCTGGAAATGAGAGAACAAAAATTCATAAAAGCTGTACAAAAAGAAGTTAATTTTGATAAATGATTGCTGTAATAGCATTCAAAAGCATTAAGGTAACCTGAAACTTTGATAAAAGGTTTTCTTCTTAATAGGCCTGATTAATTAGTCTGGTCATTTGGAGAGATAATACCAATTAGTTTATTAGGGTAAAAATTGTTTACCTTACTAGAGGTTAAGAAATTATATTACACCACTCTTTAAATGTTGAAACATCAAAACCTAACTAAGAAATTATACTTCACTAGCTGGACATCTGTGCTTCGCTACGAAACTATGTGATCAGGCGTGATAAATTGACACTTAAAGCCTGAAACTTAATGTAGAATGTGTAACTCGGTAGCATCAGAGCATGTTAATATAAGGCAACTGGCAGTTGAAACAGAAGGGGAGGGGGGAGTAGAATGTCCCAACCCACAGGCCGGATGAGTCACACGCTGGCCACGCCTATGCCCAGTTTAGCAAAGGGGTAGCATCAGAGCATACGGCAACTGGCAATTGGAACAGAGTTCCTTTCAGTTGGGGTGGGGGAGTAGAACGTTTAACTCCTTAGCATCAGCGTGTGTGAATATAATACTGTATATGAAATACTAATGATCTGATGGTCATTTCAAACAATCCTTTCTCAGCGAGCACCTAGAAGCCAAGAGGAACATATCAGGGGTGGGTTCTACTTACTTTTACTACTGGTTTGCAGCGGGGCCACGCACGCATGCTTCATGCATGCACGTTCTCTTCTGCGCATGCACAGAAGCTTCTGCGCATGTGCAGAAGCGTTTTGATGATGTCAGGGTTGGTGGGCGGAGCCTCCCACCAGTTTTACTACTGGTTCTATAGAACCGGTGCAAACCGGGGGCAACCCACCACTGAAACATATGTGCCAAATTTCAAGTTTGTAGACTTTACCGTTCTGGAGATTTCATGATGAGTGAGTGGTATTTGGCTTTTATATATATATAGATTACTAAACACAAATTCATATTAACTTACTTTGGGAAGATTCTTTTGGAATGCCTGTAGGGAAAGAATCATAGGAGCCGCTACTGCCCAATTGTAGTATCTGCAATTAGAGGGGGGGGAAATTAATCTGTATATAGCGGCATGAGCCTGATAGCAAAATAATACATGGAAAATGATCATCAAGATTACAGAACTGAAAGATGACGCAGTACAAATGGATGAATGTATGTAGATGTTTAAGCACTGCACCAAATTATTTGCTTAAGCATATAGTTACACCATAATAATACCACAAACTAATGGCAAAGCCCAATTTTCAACCCAGCCAGACCCAACTAAATCTCATTGTTTCATGAAATATCTGAGATATTTGTGACAGGCAGCTGAAACGTACTATCAATCTGCAGGTATATGTGTGTCTGCTTCATAAATATATAACTGAAATAGGTTTCATTATATGTTTTCATAAAAATCTAAATCTGGTTTCCTAGCTAGCCTCTAGAAGGAAGGCTTAGCCTACAATAACATTTGCAGTCCAGCGCATGACAAGCCAATTCGAGCTACAATATATTTTCTGCTGTCATGGTTGCTGAACTCAGTTTATGAAAGTGTATGAGCTTTTATTCCCACATATAGGTCTTTTTAAAAAAGCTTTTTGGGGAATGATTGGAAGCCAGAATACATAAGAGGGGAATGCAAGTTCCACCTTCATACAAAATTCACTAACTCAGCAAAGCAGGCTTTAAGGCCATAGACTAACATTATTCTCACAGAATACAACTAGAATTCACTCATGTATACACATCAGTGGCGGTATTTAGCCGGTTCTATCCAGTTTGGGCAAACTGTTAGTGGTGGCGGTGAGAGGCTCCACCCACCCGCCCGGATGTCATCACATCCCATTTTTGGCGCTCTGCGCATGTGCAAAAGGTCCTGTGCATGCGTGGAGGTGGAGCGTACACTCACATTTGTGAACTGGTAGCGAAAATAAGTGAATACCACCCCTGATACACATACATGGCTACACAAAGCTCCTTTGGGGGACACAAACACCACAAGTGAAAGTGGCATTTCTACTTACTTCTTTTGGATCTGTATTACCAAGTTTGGGTCTTCAAGAATTGCTGGGTTCTCTGCAAACTCCTGATAAGACACTATATGCTTCATAAACTTCTCTGCTGAAATGGAAGGCAATATATTTATATTCACATTTCATATTTCTAAACTGCCCATCTCCCTCAAAGAGGAGCTCTTCGATAGATAATTGTCTTCTAATTCATTCGATAACTGGATACTATTTTTCCCACCCAATAAATATCTCCTTTAGAATAACTTTATCAGATAGTACTGTAGAATGCCAACTCAAAGTCAGATCGTTATAAAAACTGTTACAGTATCAAATCGAATTCCCTCCTTTGCCTCTAAACATACCATGAGTTAATTCTCCATCGTCTCCAAGACCTCCACAGAGAGACAAGAGAATGGGGTTATTTTCTATAGGTTCCAGCAGATTATCTGCATTGCTGTCACCTGTTGCACCACCCAGCACATGGGAATGAGAGAAGATTCCAGGGTCAGATTGTGCTCGTGGCCAATTCAGTTCAGCATCACTGAAAACCAAATAATAACAACATCAATAGCATGGTATACATGTTGTTGTTGTTGTTGTTGTTGTTAACTAATAACAACAATATCTATACCACGTGAATCCCTTTAAGGCAAGAAAAATGATGACATATTTTACTTATTTGCTGAAAGTTCCCTGTTATCTCTGAACCCTGGATCATCTGTTCCAGTAAGATTTGGGAGAAACAATTTGCGTACTATAGAAAGTTCTTTGGAGTGACTAAATTATGACTCTATCTTTTAAATTATGACTCTTTCTTTTAAATTCAGGTAAGAAACCTATGGCCCTTGGACTCCAACTTCTCCCTATAATCATTATTCACAGCTCTTGGACTGACAGAAATTGGAGTCCACTATTTTTTGAAAAAAACCACAAGTTTCCTTATTTTTATTTTATTTATTTATAAACACACACATCTAAAATGTCATCTTACTTATACTGGATTAATATTAATCAATCCAGTACATATATTAATCTGAATATAGACATGTTGTCTCATATTTTCTGAAACAGTTTGCACATAAATCATATTTTTATGCCGTATACATGCGTTATGGACTTATGGAATCCAGATTTCATCTTCTCTAATGTGGTAATAAGATATTAAGAAACCAAACTATTAGTTGTAAGGTTTCTGGAGTTGCCAGTTGCATATAATAACCTTTAACTATTGGCATATTGTAGGGCAGATTGAATATCCTGTTCATATTCCCACTTTTTAAGGACTTTGCTAAATTGTGCTAATACACAGAAGCTTCAATAACATCTCTGGTGACTACAACTAAATTCTTTAGGCTATGTCTTAACTTGAAGGTTAGAAAAAACTTTGTCACAACAACGAAACATTCTACACTGGTATATCATGGGCTTCTTTTTGATGAATAATTTTAAACAAAGGTTATGTGGCTGTTGGTCATGATTAAATTCCTGCATTTTGCTTTGGTCAAGACATTCAAGGCTCTTTCCTACTGAAACTTGAATTCAATCATTCTAATTTCTCATCTATAGTTTCTCCAAAGAAATCAGAAACAATAGACATACCTCTTGGGGAAATAAAGTGCTAATTGCTCCGCATCCAAGTTTGAAAGATCGTCTAAATAAATATCACTAGGTCCCAGATGAGGGTTTTTCTTTATGGAACCTCAAAGAGATTAAGAAATGATTACAATGGCCCAGATAATTTAATGAAGAAACTGTATTTCTGTAGACATTTCTGTAATCACTCACCCTAGTAATGAAGACAGTTCATTCCCCCCCCCAAAAATCTCAGTGAATACCCTGTTTTCCCCAAAATAAGACATTCCCTGATAATAAGACCAATCAGGCTTTTATGCCCATGGCAATAAGGCCAAGCATTTATTTCAGGGTTCAAAAAAATATAAGACGGGGTCTTATTTTCGGGGAAATTGTATAAATTATTTTTTTGAAAAAAATCCATAGAACAATTTCATAGAATTTAGTTAGTAAGGTGATATCAATTTCTAATGACTGGATTAACACAAAATGGTCAGAATTTTATGTGATGACACATTGCCCAAGATCAGGTTATCCCCCACTCTTTTATCCTTTGTAAAATGGGTAAAAGCAGCCCTCTTGTAGGAAGAAATATTTTTAACTGGAAGTCAGCAACTGATTTTGTTTCTTTGGTATTTCATTATATGTTTCAGTACTTTCAATATTGTAAATTGCAAAGAGTCTGACAAGAAAGCCGCATAAATATTACTGTAATTAATCCCCTTTCCTCCTTTAATAACCAGGGCCATGGACATTATAAACTCACTTGTCTCATTGTCTGCAAAATAGATTTCTGAATTCAGACTGAATATTCTAAAGTGGCATTTCCATTTGGAGGGCTCTTTCTTATGGATACAAAATGTAAACAGACCTTTTGCAAGTACAGATAGTTCTCGTCTTACAACCACAATTGGGATCAAAATTTTTATTGCTAAGCAAGGCAATTGTAAAATTGTGCCCAATTTTACTTTTTTGCCAAGTTTTTAAGCAAATCACTGCAATTATTAAGCACATCATATGATCATTAAGCAAATCCGGCATCTCCAATTGACTTTTTTCTGTTACAAACAGAGCTGGGAAGGTCATAAATGGAGATCACATGACCCTTAGGATGCTGTCACTGTCATAAATATTTGATAGTTGCCAAATGCCTGAATTTTGATCATGTGACCATGGAGGATACTGCGAAGGTTGTAAGTCACTTTTTTCAATGCCATTCTAACTTTGAATGGTTGCTAAAATAAAAGGTTATAAGTAACAAAAACTACCTTGATTTATTTATTTACTTGATTTATTTTTTATTATTTTATTTATTTATTTTATTTTATTAAATTTCTATACCACCCTTCTCCCGAAGGACTCAGGGCGGTGAACAGCCACAAGATAAAACACATAAATACAAAAATTTAAAATAAATTAAAAACGAATTAAATAATTTGGCTGAATTTAAAATTTAGGACTATTGATGGTTTCTATAGCTGGGTATGGAAAAGGGTTGGGAGGGACAGAATGTACTGAAGAAGATTAAAAACAGAACACCTTCTCCTATCCTCTAACTATAAATAATGTTCAAGATTCTTCAAGAGAATGGGAAAAGATTCCTTGGTGAGTTCCAAGTACATTTGGAAGGCTCCATTCTAGGTTGATCAACATAGCAAAAAGAAACATTCCTCTTAAAGTTTGAGGATGCCCATTACACTTTGTTGACAGATTCCTCAACTATATTGTAATAGCTTTCCATCTCCACTTACTCCTTCTCTTCTCCTGGTTCACCTCTGGATCACTACAGGATTCTATGCTTGACAAAGGTTTTTCCAAAGAAGGCACTTCCAAATCTGGATATGTAGTCTGCACATCTGTCTCCTTGTTGAAATTTGATCTCTTGTCTTCTGCAACTGCTGCTATAACTTCTGTATCTCCTGAAAGTCCACGATCAGGGTCCACTTGATCTATAGCCATGCAAATGGAAGGACAGGGGTCTTCATCTCCCAGAAGTCCATTTCCAGAAGGAAAAACAGGGGTTGGCTTAATTATGGGAGAAGATGCTGTATCATCAGAGTCTGCTGTTCCCAGGTCACTTTCTGAGCCAGCAGTAATAGCCACAAAGTGAGTTGTCTCATCCGTAGGGATAATAGTAGTTGGGTCATTGGCTGGTGTTGCAGAGACATTTGAGACAGGTTTGGTTGCTTCTACACGGTCTGATTTGCTCATCTTGAAAAGGAAAAAAGTCTTATGAAACATCTCGCAAAAGAGATAAAACAAAACGATTTTGGTGACACAAGGTTTTTTTCCCCCTAACCCTACAGGTCAGGCCTGTCAAACTCTATCTAGGAGACAGATGGGCCATGGGCCAGATAAGTGACATGCAGGCCACACCCACCCAAGCACAATCCAGCCCGTGATGCAACCAACTTTGACACCCATGCTACAGGTGTTCATTATTGCATCATGCATGTGCATGTATACAAGATACTACTGCTGCCAAATGAATAATTTTACTGGAATTCAAACCAAGATTGCAGAATATTAAAACAATGCAAAGAAATGAATTAACTTTTTTAATTTTTTATTTAATTTTATATTTTTAACTTTTGAATATTTAAAAATATTAAATATAAATAACGTTTTCTTGAAGTATCTTATTTGTATAAAAAAGAGATAAGGGTTTTCATAAAGTCACACCCTTTGGTTTAAATTACTTTCAGTTGCAATTATTTGTTAATTTATGATATATTGATATAATTCAGAAATACACAGTCTGAAGTCACAAGTAAATTCCAAACTTCTGGTCTCATTGATCCCTGTTGAGTAACGGTTGCTGAAAAGTTTTGCAACTCTGAAGCAAGGACAATTCCAAAATTGTAGTATAAACCTTAAATAACCATAGTATTGATTGAAACCACTTATTTCTAGTGGTTCCTGCCCAACCACTAAGAACTAGAAAAGTGGAATTTCTATCGATATCACTCCTTTAAGCAGGTCTGTAACCCAACTACAAATTGGGGTGGTATAAAAGTCTAGTAAATCCATCCATCCATCCATCCATCCCCAGGAAAATATTAAAATACTGAAAATCCTGTCCTGGTCCATCTATGAGATACATCCCTGCTTATCTTCTATCATTTATTTGTGTATTTCAGTTCCTGTCTCCACCCCTCTGAAATATTATGTATATTTTAGACCATCCTGTTATAAAGGCTATAAAAGGGAGTCTTACACACACATATAAACATGTAGGTATTCTTTTCAATGATTATTATAATAATGGAAAACATTTTTGCATCTATTCATACGAGACATGAAGCTATGCATCTCAGAGATCCTTCCTTTATGTACACCCACCTCTGGCAGTCTTCCCCAGGACCATTGTAGCTGGGATTCAGAACTAAGAGGTAGTTCAGGATTTCTGATCTCCAATTCAGAGTCGCTTTTTGGAGCAGATGAACAACTTTGAGAAAGGCTGGGGAAGGGAGATAAATCAGAATACTTTTAGTATTGATAGCAGAGAATACTGGTGATCTAACCTATTGCATGATAGAAATCAGCACAATCAAGAAATCATTGTAAGAGTTGATGTAATAGATCAGGAAAGAGGAGTTTAGGAATACCAATAACTTCAGAGAGTAAAATCAATTGAAGGACTAGAAAAAGAATCTGGCTATTTTATTCCTGTCATCTAGTCTCTCCTAAGAAGAGACAGCTTCAACCTTCAACCTTCAATTGTCTACCATGGACCTCACCCCATTCCTTTTTTTAAAAAAAGTTTTTAATTTTTATTTCTCATAAACACATTTACATGTACAGTCATTTCCATCATTTTTCATTCATCTTTTAACTTTCATTTTTCATTTTTATTTTTTCAGGACTGCTCTTTTAATGCTCACCCCATTCCTAAGAGGTCCATAAAGGGGGCGTGCATAAGCGCACCAGTGTGCCTACTGTCCCTGTCCTACTGTCTCCATTTATTTGTATTCATTTCCTTCATTCATGTCCATGTTCATATTTATACCTGCTATCTTGTACATGTTTGACAAACTAATAAATAAAATAAAATAAGTAATAAAAAATAAGGAAGAGTGCTTATCCTTTTCTTTCATTAAGTTCCACCATTTCCTTTGACTTGAATCTCTTGATTCCGAATCAATATTACAGCCAAAACTGATTCAATCCTACTATCTTCAAACAAATAATATTATCACCACTTCTGTATTAGCTTCTGGGACACTTGAAGAGGCCACATGTTCTTTTCTATAGACATACAAGCAACTGGAAGAGAGTTATCCAAGATCACTTTTGTTCTTTGACCATTGTGCTCCTTGAAAGCTCAGAATGATAGCCTTCCTCTACTTACTCTCCAGAAATGCTAGACATTAATTAAATGTCAACCATAATGTCCAGCTAGGCCCCTTAGATGTCGTGAACCTCTTCAAAGAGTGCCAAGTTTGAGAAACCCGCTCTATTTCAGCTCTTCTAATACTATCATGGTGACTCCATATTCCCATACTAGCCAAGATCCAGAGCTCTTCAAATATATCCAAAAAGTTTGGATGTCCCAATAGGAACTGGATTTTTTTTCTTTTTTTAAAAAAAAAGCAGATATATCATATCAGAAATGGCATACAGAGGGGATGACCCTGGGTCCATAAGTACAACCATTGCATTTCCCAAGTCAAATCTTATATTCAAACAGGTAGAACTGTTTGCCTTCTTTGCATCTCTGCTATATTTACCTCTGCAGGGGAGCTAGCTCTCCATCAGAGTACGGATGTACTTCTTGAAGTTGCAGAGTCCCATCTTCTTGTTGTTGGACATCTCCAAAGGAGTAGTACATTGTGTTACTGATAAGGAAAGATAGAATACAAGATACAAAGTTAGATGATATCCATGTGCACAGACCAAAAAGTACAGTGCTGGCTACCTGCAGGCTACCTGTCTTCAAAAAAGGGTTAGACCAATTCACAGACGTCACAGCAATCAACAACCATTAGCTTTGTAACTGCCTCTGAAAGCCATCTTCCAGGAGACTAGTGGGTTCCCTTGTTCATTGATTGGCCAGTGTGAGAACAGATTGCTGGGCTAGATGGACCAGGGATCTGATTCAACAGGATACTTTTATATTCTTGACAGGAAAGAGCCTTGTACTGACTTGATAGCAATAGCAATAGCACTTAGACTTATATACCGCTTCAAGATGTTTTACAGCCCTCTCTAAGTGGTTTATAGAGTCAGAATATTGCCCGCAACAATCTGGGTCCTTATTTTACCAACCTCAGAAGGATAGAAGGCTGAGTCAACTTTGAGCTGGTCAGAATCGAACTCCTGGCAGTCAGCAGAATTATCCTGCAATAGTGCCTTCTAATCACTATGTCACCATGGCTCTTGTGAGCACTGCATAGAAATATTTAAAGTGATTTGTGACAGCTTCAGTGCTGGGAAGCTCTGTGGGTTACACCAGACTTTTAAAGAACCAAATGATGATTGCAGAACGGCCATTTGCAGACTACGGAGCAGTGGTGGGTTCCTCCCGGTTCGGCCCGGTTCTCCTGAGCCGGTAGGGGTGACGATATGATGTCACCGAACTGGTTCTGCCCCCCCACCCCCCCTGCCCCCCCCGCCCCCCCACCCCCCGGGTTATTCTTACCTTTTATTTGGCCCCACCCCAATCTATTGCTGCCTCCTGAGTCCCAGCTGATGGCTAGAGGGAAAAAAACTGTTTAAACTCTTGTCACGGGGCTTCAAAGGGCTGCCCTACAGCTGATTAGTGTTAAAAGAAAACAAATGGGTAGACCGGTGCCTGCAAAAATACATGAGTAGATCAGTGCCTGCGAAAATACATGAGTAGATCAGTGCCTGCAAATATAAATGGGTAGACCAATGCCTGAAAAAATAAATGGGTAGACCGGTGCCTGCAAAAATACATGAGTAGACCAGTGCCTGCAAAAATACATGAGTAGATCAGTGCCTGCAAAAATAAATGGGTAGACCAGTGCCTGCAAAAAATAAATTGGTAGATCGGCACAGCTCTGCAAGCAGTTAAAAGCCTGGTAGACCAGTACCTCTGCTAAATCCTAAATAATTGTCACATGACCATCAAGCCACACCCACAAAATAAGCCACGCCCACAGAACCGGTAGTAAACAATTTTAGAACCCACCCCTGCTACGCAGGAGGCAGAAATAAAATAGTAGAGGCAGTCTTTCACTAACGACTGTTCATTCAGTGATTGTCGAAGTCATGATGACACTGAATGAAGGGATCTACAGCCCCTGCCTGAAGTTACAGCTGCAGTCATGTGATAAAAATTTGGGCACTTGGCAACATGCTGGCCCTTATAATTGGGCACAACTAACGACCCAAATTCCAGGCCCAATGGTGGTTGCTGTGAATTGCAATTCTTTGCAGACTTATTAAAAAAAAAAGAATGGAATGACTAGAAATTCCTCCAATTCACTTTTTAATGCGAGCTTAACTACTTTATTCTTCTGAAATCTACAGTACATGCAACTAAGCTACAATTATTTGTTTGTATCTGGATTTTTCAGTGCAACCTTCTGAACAATCAATGGTAATATCCCAAAAAATTATGCAGATAAAAATATATTATGTTGCAAGAACTTGCTTGCAAAATGTGCTTGTTAGAAGAATATATTCAAGAATTTCATATCCTGAAAGTAAAAGGTATGAAAATGTATATGAATCTTTTCTGAAAAATTTAAACTAATGCAAAGACAGGATGAAAATAATTTTCAAACGGAAAACTGAGAAACTAGTCAGAAAAATGAGAAATGGGATCATACATATGTACGACAGACCTTGCTTTTCTAAGCACAAGGATAGGACTACACATGTCATTCGTAAGAGGTTGAATTAATCCTGTTACTATTGTTTCCATAGTCTTGTATAAATAAGAATATTTTAAGCAACACTGTTATTCATACACCAGCTTGTTTCTGATGTTTTATAATCATGGAAGGCTGGGATGGGAAGAAGATGCATGTTTCAAAGGCCAGGCAAAATAATGTATTCATGTTTTTATTGCTCCCAAATGATTCTGACCTAGACTTTTCAGGTGGCTCTTATAATCTAAATAAGGAGTTTTGTCACAAGCACTCAACATGTCTCAGTGTGTTTTGGGAATGGAACATGCTGCTTATGTACAAATATATTCAGCTTTAATTAACCACTATGCTACTGCGATATCTTCAATCAGTTGTTTACCAGAATACAGAAGTCTCACTGGGCTCCAAGCTCAAAGGTTTCTTGACTGATGTGGCAGGCAAGCTTGCCAGCGGATCAAATTCTGATTCATGACTGCAACCTTGTTCATTTGTTCACTTTAAGCAGTTATAATCCATATTTTGACACGTTTCTACAAGACTTTGATTTCAAATTATAAATATATAGCAGTATAAAGGCAGCCCCAAAACAAAAAAAAAGCTCACTGCATATATTATGTTAATGAAAAAAAATCCTGGAAAATTAAAAAAGGCCATTATAATAGCTTCAAAGTAGATGTTAAGCAAGCTTTCCTGGGAAAGAGTTATGCAGCCAAAGGCCACGTTCCTCATCACCTCCTTTTGCATTTGAAATGCAAAAAAGAAAAACTGCAAATTATTGGAACTTTATATTGCAAGGCTGATATTTCATTAGTTTAGCATTGCTTTCATTGGGCAAGGCAAATCCTTAGCACATACCAAGTGTTATCTGACTTACATCTTTCTTTCCATCTCATTCGTGAACAGTAACATCTATCTTTGGAACCTTTAAACTATTATGAAAATTTGAACAGACTTGTTTCCAAAAGCCACAGAGCCAGTTCTCACTTCGTGTCTTTTGTCTCAGCAAATTCAAAGTTCACACCTGAGAAGTTGTGCATGAGCAACCTTGAAATTTCATCAGCATGAATTCATTTGGATTGGGAAAAGGACACAAATAGGGAGGGTGTGCCTTCTTATTTGCATTCAGAAAGAAAACACAAAATCTGAGACATTATTCGTTTAAGTCCTACTTGAAAACAAGAAGGCTAAAGAAATGCCACTCTGCCACCCAGATACAAAGCATCTTTCATTACATTACAGCAGAATATATTAAATTGCAAATGCATAAACACTGTGGGAGAAATTAAGATTTTGAAGTGCTACAGACTTAAAAACCTTAAATTCAGCATCCTTTCTCCCTGTGGGCCTCATTATTCCGAAATATAGAAAAGACAATCAACCGTGACACAAATGCTCATTAGACAAGATCAAGTAATCTGAAACCTGAACATCTGCCAAAGGTCCTTTAAAATTCAGTAATATATTTCGAGAAAGTTTGATCCACCAAATTAAATACAAACTGATAGTTATTTCAAGTTGTCAGAGTTTTAGCCATCTTCCTGTTCCCCCATCAGAATAGGTAGAAAATGAAAGATTTTCATAAAACCTATGAAGAATCATAATATATGGAGGACTGATTATACTCAGTTTGGTTGAACATAAGATAGGTTTTAGGGCAGTGATGGCTAACCGTTTTGCCGTTGCCTGCCAAAAATGGGGGGAGCATGGGGGGGTCATGTGCGCGCGTGCCCACTCCCATAATTCAATGTGCCCTGTGCATGTGCACGTAACCCCCCCCACTCCCCTCACTTTTGGCTTTCTAGGAGCCTAGTGAGGGCGAAAATGGCCTCCCCCCCACCCGGAGGCCCTCCGGAGGCCAGAAACGGGCCATTTCCCGACTTCCGGTGGGCCCGGAAGGCCTGAAAATCAGTTGGCCAGCGCGCGCATGCGCACTGGAGCTGAGATAGGGTAATGCTCGCATGCACACAGATATGGCTCTGCATACCACCTGTGGCATGTGTGCCATAGATTCGCCATCACGGCTTTAGGGTATTAATATTGAAACCACATCTTATAAATATCACCAAGTGTACAGTGGTTTTCTATGGATTTCCTTTCCAATAAAGCTATGCAGATTTCATAATTAAAATCAGGGAAGAAATTTCTATCTGCATTTAGGGCAAACAACTAAACTAAAACTCTTACTGCCATTGAAGCCATTGACTCTAATTTTAGAAGAATTTTTGTTTTGGTATGTTATCTTTACATCTTTCATTCATTTATTGATTTCAGATTAGAAACAAACCCTTGGAAGTTAACAGGCCAGTTTATTTATGCATTTATTTTCACAGAACTAACAGCTGCTTCATACTTCCCTCTTAACTTGCTTTTTCAATATATCAGCTGAAATATTGAATATAGTTAGTCCTTGACTTATAACTGGTTGCTTAGCGATTGTTCTAAGTTATGACAGACTTTGGTACTTATTACCCAGTTCTGAAGTTCTGTTGCCTGCCCCAGCCCTGCAGTTATGTGACCATTTGGCAACTGGCTTGCATTTATGGCCATTTGCAACATCCCATGGTCCCATAACCTTTTTTGACACTTTTGCCTAAAACCAGTACTTACTTCTGGGTTTTGGCAAAACTGGACCATAGCAAACTATTGGATCGCTTAACTGCCACAAAAAAAGATAACAAAATTGAGTCAGTCGAAGGGTTAACCTATTTTATGACCATCACAATTTACAATCTTGATGTGCAGGCTTCATTATGGTTGTACCTAGAAGACTACCTGTATAAGTAAAGCAAGGATACTGGGTGTAGCAGATCAGCAGCTAAATGAAAAGGGGGATAAATTCAGATAAAAAAGATTCCAAACTCAGTACCTGCCATCTGCAATTAAAAAGAATCTCAGCAACAGCAAACGTTTGAAGACAAGACAGTACTACTGCCAGTTTGGTATATACTCTTACTTGGAAATCAACGCTTTTCGCTTCTCCTCCAGAGATCTCTCACTCTCTGTCCCTTCTTCTTCTGATGTTGAATCTCCAGATGATTCTCTTTTCTTTGGCTTCTTCTTGCGCCATCTTTTCTTACGGGTAGCTGTATCTGAGCCCAGGCCATCAGAGTTCCCGTATAACTTGGCAGATTTGGCCACAGCATCGATGTTTTTCTCAGTGGGGATGGGAGATGTGCACAAGAAGCTTGGGATTCTCTCCTGGGAGACAGATGGCATAAATCTGATCAGTTTTTCAGCCAGGATTGAGTCAGGTTTAAGGCAGGGGTGAAATTCAGCAGGTTCTGACAGGTTCTGGAGAACCGGTAGCAGAAATTTTGAGTACTTCAGAGAACCGGCAAATACCACCTCTGGTTGGCCCCAGAGTAGGGTGGGAATGGAAATTTTGAATATCCTTCTCCTGGAGTGGGGTGGGAATGGAGATTTTGCAATATCCTTCTCCTGGAGTGGGGTGGGAATGGAGATTTTGCAATATCCTTCCCCCAGGAGTGGGGAGGGAATGGAGATTTTGTAGTATCCTTCCCCCGCCATGCCCACAAAAGCCACACCACGCCCACCAAGCCACGCCCACAGAACCGGTAGTAAAAAAAATTAAATTCCACTACTGGTTTAAGCCATAACACTAGGCAAATCAAACTGCAAACTCAGCACCAAATATAAACCAAGGATTGCAAACTAGAAGATCTACATATTCTGATTTTACAAGTCCAGGATTCTAAGAGCTATGGATAGATTTCACCCCACGCCTACCAAGAAAAAATAAACTCAATTAGTCAGGGAAAAAGCAGCAGCAGCTGCAAGAGCTAGACCTTCTCCCTCAACCATATTTTTTTAATATTATTAAAACTTGGAAAAGATTTTAAAATATTTGTTTCTTGGGACTAAATAAAAATGTCTCAACACCTATTTTGAAACTTCATTCTCTTTTTTTAAAAAAATAAAAGATAAACTGTCTAGACCTCAGTTCAACAATGAGCATATTTCTTTGGATATTCTTTGGACTTGGATATTTCAGAGGGGAAGATTGCAGTGATGTTCTCATGTTTTCCCAATGAAGAGCAATCCCTAGCAAAACCTGAGAAATCAATGAGAAATCTGATTTTGGTAAGGGTGTGTGTGTGTGTGTCACACAACAGGGCTTCAGAATACTATGCTTTTGGTGTAACCCAATGTTTCTCAATCTTAGCAATTTTAAGATGCATGGACTTCAACTCTCAGCATTCTAGGAGTTGAACTCCATAGATTTTGAAGTTGCTAAGGTTGAGAATCAGTGGTCAGTCTCTAAGAAGTATGTCTGAAAGAAATGGCCAGATGCATATTTATGTCCTATAAATATGCCCACCTTTTGTTCTTCTGACTCCTGGACAAAAAAGGCTTCTCCATTGTCACCCAGCTTCATATGCAGATTGACTGGCTCTCCATTGATTTCTATATCAACCTAATAAAAAAGGAAAGATCAAATTATCTTAAGCCTAGGAAACCATTTCTGAAAAAAAATCCAACCATTTCCTTTATCAGAAATGGAGGATGAGAAAATGGATCTGGTCGACACACATTTAGAAATGAAGAGATCGTTTAAGTTTATTCAGCCGCATTTCCTTCATGTTGCCATGAAAGACAGAACTAAGATATCAATGTTAATCTTACGTTTTTTAAAGAGGAAACATGTTTAAGATCAGTGGTGGGATTCAAATAATTTAACAACTGGTTCTCTGCCCTAATGACCAGTTGGGTGCATGGGGCCATGGTGGGTGTGGCCAGAGGGTGTGACAGGCAGCACTTGGCCTTCTGCACCCCCCAGGGCGCAAAAACACGCCACGGAGGGCACTTGCCACCCCCCGCACCCCATTTTGGGCCTAATAGGCTCCTAGGAGCAAAAACGGGCCATGTGGGGAACACGCCGCACCCTCCTGCACCCTGTTTTGGGCCTAGGAGGCCTCCCTGCACTTACCTGGGAACCAAAATGGGGTGCGTGAGGACTACTGAAAGGGGGAGGGAGGGGTGGGGTGGGGCCAGACAGTAATTTAACTACTGGTTTGCCCAAACCGGCTGAATCCCACCACTGTTTAAGGTGTATTTCTACAGTCAGTATATATAAAATGTCTAAATAAATAAGAGCATGCTTACTGTTTAAAGAACCCACAAAAATCTATGGATTTCAGTCAAATTTTATTACAGATTTATTTACAAAACAAATAGATTACTGCAAGGAAAAAAAGCCATGGAGATGTGGAGGTGAAAATATTATGGAGTGGAAAAGAACTTTTTTCTCAATTACTGCTAATATCCAAGTTGGATCTGAATTGCCACGTTTAGGGGAAAAAAATAATAAAGGCAATGCTGCTACAACCAGGATTCTTCCACCTGATATTCCTTGCACAAATACTGAGTGTCTATGGAGATTCTCAGCCATCCAGGTCATGGTTGTCCCAAAGGTGCTTTTTCAAGAGGCAACTGGACTTTCTGGTTTTTCTTTGAAGATGTTTCACTTCTCATCCAAGAAGCTTCTTCACCTCTTCCTTGAATCTGGTAGTGTCCTTCAACTCCCCTATCTCCAGTTTAATTAATGCCACTTTCCAGTTCCATTTTCTGCTGTGGAGGCTCTCTCTTTCTTCATTCTCCCTTTTATCAGTAGGAATGACAGATTTCAACATAGCAGGAAATGGGCGAGAAGATTAAAAGTACACAGACCAGTTTAAAAATATCTGGTGTGCTGCTGTAAATGGCTCCACTGAGAGACAACTTTGTGCAATGTACGTCATTCAACAGATACACAGAGGACTTCGCCTCTAACCCAAAAATATCAGAAGGCAATATACTTACCTTCTGATTCAAATTACTTAACTATCCCTTTGCTACAGGTTGATTTAGCATAAGCAATTAGTTCTCGTTATTCAAATAATAATTATTATTCTATGTATTACAGGGCTTACATTATGGAGCTGAAGCTGGCCCTTCCTTATTCAGCTGAGGAGAGAGTTTGAAATGTATTTTTTAGCCAAGCCCTTTAGAATTTCATTGTCCTTGATTGCTGATTTTGATGCTGTAATTGGTAATTGGGATGTTGTTGTTTATATTATAATTCAGTCATATGCCTAGAACTATTGCGATTGAGTGGCATACACATTCAATAAATAAATATGGCTTTGGTAGTTGAAGCTATGCAGGGGTGGGCTTCAAAAATTTTAGCAAGGGGATCTCTGCCTGGTTGCTGGGTGGGTGTGGCCAGGGTGGGCATGACCTAGTCGGCCTCCTGCACCATGGCAGGAGGGGCGTTTTTGCCCTCTATGGGCTCTGGAGGCTTTCTCTGAGCCTCTGGGAGGGCGAAAACGGCCTTCCCAGGGAGGCCCTATGAAGGCCGGAAACGGGCCCATTTCTGGGCTTCCTGAACTTCCAGTAGGCCCATTTTCACCCTCCCCGAGCCTCTGTGCACGCCCTGCACTTACCTGCATCCAGAACGGGTCGCGTGGTGACTCCTGGGAAGGGTGGGTGGGATGGGTGGGACCAGCCAGAAGTGAGATTTGGAAGTTCTCCAAACTACACAGAATCTTAGCTAGAGGTTATCCCGAACCCCTGCGAACCCCCAGCAGCCCACCCCTGAGGCTATGTAAAAACAATCTTATGATTCTGCTGTATATACCATGATTAGTGTGGCATAGTTGACAATAAAATGAGGCAGATGGATTTAGGTTTCAAAGCATGTTGAATTTTTCACTGCTAAAAAGTAAAGAGGAATGGAGACTATTCCATTTTTTTTTTACATGTATTGAACATTTTCAGAGACTAATGAAAAAAAAATGAATTGACAATACAGGAGATGATATTTTTTTTTTGCCTTTCAGATATGTTAGCGTACAGCTGCCATCATCACTTTGGATAGTGATAGTAATAATTCATTTCACTTTGGATAGTGAGATGGACAACATATAAATTTAATAAACAAATAATCATTGTCAGCCAAAGGAATTCTGATTGAAGGCTGAAGCACAAAAAACTGGGATGATTATTAGAGTCTTTCATGAAATCTTTGTATAGTATAAAGATTTGTGAATATGTCCGGTGGCTATGGGCTTCCATTTTCTACTCTAAAGAGAATAAGTGGGTGGGCATCAGATGCATGGTGTAATGAGGCTTACCATACATTTGGTTCCATTGAGCAGCCAAAGCTGGAACAATTTTTGAAAGAACATTCCATAAAAGGCCACATTTCATAAAAGTGCCAACTTTCCCTATGTAAGCCTGCTTTGTCCCAGTTTAATGGCCTGAAAACATGGTTATTTTACTTATTAATGTGCATCCTGCCAAATTAGAGAGAGAGAGAGAGAGAGAGAGAGAGAGAGAGAGAGAGAGAGAGAACGAACCTGAAGGAATTCTGTTTAAGTTGCAGAAAATTACAGCGTTAGCGGCCACACATCTGTAACCACTTACCACTTTCTCACTGGAATGCAGAACTCGCAGCTTCCCAAAGCGCACGTGGAAAGGTGAACAACATAAGGAACCATCTGGTTGCCTTACCACAATCACATCAATGCAGCCTGTGAGGGTGGCTGGATTCAGACCCCTGTACAGCTCCTTCACCGTGCCAAACACAGTTTCTGCAATCTGGCCCACATAGTTCATTGTCTGAGTCTCTAGGAAGAGAAAGAATAACAAACGAAACCCTATTTAGAATAGAATATAATAGAATAGAATTTCTTATTGGTCAAGTGTGATTGGACACACAAGGAATTTGTCTTTGGTGCATATGCTCTCAGTGTACATAAGGAGAATAAAATACATTCATCACGAATAAAAAGATACAACACTTAGTGATAGTCAAGATTACTAATAAGATATCAAATCGTTCTAGGAAACAAATAAAAACAATATAATAGAAAGATACAAGCAACATGGTTATAATAATAAGTGGGAAGAGATAGATACTAGTAAGGAAGAGAAGAAGAATAGTAATACAGTCTTCGTAAATTATTTGACAGTGTTGTGGGAATTAGTTGTTACGCAGAGTGATGGCATTCGGAAAAAAACTGTCCTTGTGTCTCGTTGTTTTGGTGTGCAGTGCCCTATAGCGTCTTTTTGAGGGTAGAAGTTGAAACCATTTAAATTAAACATTAACCGTAGTCACTGAGTTAGATTGTGTCACCCGACAACAGTTTCTGAGGTTAAGAAATGGTATTCTTTCAGATATTAATGAAACACGAAATGCTCCCATCTCTCACAAATTTACAAGTTTTCAACATTATTCCACAGCAAAAAAATTCTCCAGATGCCCTGTGCCAAAGTCAACCTCAGGTTACATCTCCCACACATGGGTTTTTTTCCCCCTGTTCCACTGCTCACATCCACCCACAAGGTTCTTCTGGGCCTACTCCTTTTACCTTATCCTCTAGCCTGTTAGAGATAACAATAATTAAAATGGTAAATAAGCAATCTTAGCCAGTTGCCCTCCCCATCCTCATCTTGGCTTGGCTGCTTCCATTCATCCAGGGCAAAGGAGTCACTGTTTGAGCAAATGCAAAGATCGGAGAAGAGAAGCCATTTATCCCGTGATGGAATTCAAATTTTTTTACTACCGGTTCTGTGGGCGTGGCTTGGTGGGCGTGGAATTGCTTGGTGGGTGTGGCTTGGTGGGTGTGGTAGGGGAAGGATACTGCAAAATCTCCATTCCCACCCCATTCCAGGGGGAAGGATACTACAAAATCCCCATTCCCTCCCCACCAGCCAGAGGTGGTATTTGCCGATTCTCCGAACTACTCAAAATTTCCGCTACCAGTTCTCCAGAACCTGTCAGAACCTGCTAAATTTCACCCCCTGCATTTCTCTTTAGTAAAGTTTTGACATGTGCAAATCTGAGACTCAAAATTATAAATATCCTGATTCCTCATGGTGAATCAGAATATGAACATTTTGTTCAGTTCATTTTCTAACTATAACCATTTGTGAGTTGCATCTTAAAATGTTGGCTTTGTCATTCTCAGTCTGTATAAATAAATATATTTTTTAAAAAATCTTTTTAAAAAAAACGGTGGTCTCATCAAAGTCAGCTTTTTTTTTCTTTCTCTAAAATTAAATTAACTAATTAAAATCAATTGATTGGAACAGCTCTGCCTTTTGGGCTGTATTTAAGCACTAAACATCTGAGAAAGAGCCTTCCTTGCTGGAACAAGATTGGTTGGACTAGAAAACCTCCAACATCCCTTCCAACCCTATTATTCTATACTCCAAGATCCTAAACAATAGAAGAGAGTATCTGTAGCTCAGGGTTTAATTGTGGAGTCCTTGGTGTCCTCTGAGCTTAATTGCTTGCTTGCAGTTACCAGATTTGGCAACATCTCTGCGCTAGAAGGGAGAGAGGTTTACCCTCTGTTTAGGTACAGTAAGATAAGGTAAGTAAAGGTAAAGGTTCCCCTCGCACATATATGCTAGTCGTTCCCGACTCTAGGGGGCGGTGCTCATCTCTGTTTCAAAGCCAAAGAGCCAGCACTGTCTGAAGACGTCTCTATGGTCATGTGGCCAGCATGACTAAATGCCAAAGGCGCATGGAACACTGTTACTTTCCCACCAAAGGTGGTCCCTATTTTCTACTTGCATTTTTACATGCTTTCGAACTGCTAGGTTGGCAGAAGCTGGGACAAGTAAAGGGAACTCACCCCATTATGCAGCACTAGGGATTCGAACAGCTGAACTGCCAACCTTTCGATCGACAAGCTCAGTGTCTTAGCCACTGAGCCACCATGTTCCTCTTAGATACGGTAGCTTGGCCTATTAATGTTGGTAGGGCTGTTGCTTCTTTGCAGTTCCATGATTAGGTTTTATTTACTATTTGTTTGTCTGAGTTGGTGCCCTTATTCTTTGATTAGAGCATTGTTTGTTTCTGTGATGCTAATCATGATGTCAATCTCTACTTATCTAGGTTTTGATTGAACTTGCCAGAAGTTCCTAGAATTTGGGGATTTAAGCTTGGTTTTGGATGTTCACATTTCCATAATTGAAACCATGGTTAAGTCTATCCAGGTGAAATTAAAGATATTTTATCATGTCTTCTGACTGTAAATTGGTGTTCATGGATGCGCTCAACCACCAACAGGCATATTTACATAGCATTCAAAACTTTGATAAGACTATAAAACAGGCATATTAGAAAACAAAAAGCAAACTAACTCCTTGCTTGGAACCAACATGCAGAAAACAGAAATTAAACACCAGGATCAGGGGTGAGTTCTACTTACCTTTACTACTGGTTCACAGCGGGGCCGCGCCTTCATGACATCGGGGACGGTAGGCGGAGCCTCCCGACGGTTTTACTACCGGTTCTATAGAACCAGTGCGAACCGGGGGCAACCCACCAACACCAGACAAACACCAGACAAACATTCCAACAGTATACAACATCCTAATCAAGGACACCAACACCAATAGGGCAAGCTACTGTACATAAACAAAGAGCAAATCCCACTCCCTTCCAGCACTGAAGATATTATGTAGTTGGTAACGAAACATCTGCAAGCAAACAGCCATGTCAGAGAGCACCAAGGACTCCACGGTTAATCCTAAACATCTAACCAGGTTTTGTTTTGTTTTTTGCCAATACTCTTCTGGACTTGTGTTTTACCCTGCACAATCCTAATTATTATAAATTTTTATTACAGATGATAAATAAAACCTGACATAAACAAATACATGACAAAGAAAAAGAGTTAGACAAATGTGTACTGTTGGCAGAACAAATTTACCTCTATGCTTTAGAAAACAAAGAGGTGGATTGGAATATATATTAAATCCACCTTAGTTTTCATTTCAATTAGCTATGGGATAAGCTTTTAACTTTGTAACAAAGGCATCAGAAATGACAAGGCATTTAGAAGGCTGCTTTACAAGAATGTATTGATATTTCTTGGCTACCAGCACGTTAGGCAAACATTCAAATGAACACTTAGTCATTGTTCTTACAGTGAAATTCAAAGCTGTCCCAGACTTATACTCCATCAAATAGATAACAATGTAGGAAGAAACCTCTTTCACTTTTACTATCTGTGGCTCTAAAGAAATCCAAACGAGAAAAGCTTTGAACTCGTGCTGACTGAGACAAGGCTGTATACCAGCATTTTTCAAACTTGGAAACTTTAATATGTATGGATTTTAACTTTCAGAATTCTCCAGCCTGCAGGGGGAATATGTGCTAAATACATTTTGAGGACAGCTAGTTTGGAAGAAAAATAGTGTGGCTTTAAAAAATACAAGAAGCAGCATTAATAACCTGACTATTTTGATAACATTGCAGAGTGCAAAATTCAGCAGCACCAGCAGTTCCTGGGGCCCATGCAACACCACTGTTCTGCAATTGGCCCATCCTACTAGTACTAGCAGAGGAGGCATGCTGCAGGCCCCATTGGCCAGGATATTCGGGCTGGTGGGGTCCAGAAGAAGAGCCTTCTCTGCCATCACTCCTGCCCTTTGGAACATCTTGCCCCCACTCACTCCCCAGAATGAAATTGACTTAAACCAGTGGTGGGATTCAACCGGTGTAACAACAATGGGTTCACTGATATAGGTCAGTTTAGCCCAGGGGCAGGCAGGCAGGCAGACCCGGCTGATTGTTGGAGTGAACCGGTTTGCTCTCAGCTGATCATTGGAGCTAATGGTTCGCCTGAACTGGTCTGAACTGCCTGAATCCACCTCTGACTTAAACCCTCCTGACCTTCTGGCAAGAGCTTAAAGACCTGGTTCTGCCACTTGGCTTGGGGCTCCAAAGGAGGAGCTTCATATTGGAAGTGGTCAATAGATTAGTGACAGATCCCACCTCCCTCCTACTCTTTTAGCTAGGGCTGTGTATTAGATTGGATGTTTCCGGCCTCCGGAGGGCATTCAGGGGAGATGGGAAGGCCGTTTTCGCCCTCCCCAGGCTCCTAGAAAGGCTCTGGAGCCTGGTGAGGGTGAAAAATGGGCCCATTGTGCCATCGCATGCCAAAAGCAGGGGGAGTGCAGGGGTGTCATGTGCAAGGGAATGGGACGCATAGAATTATGGGTGTGGGCACGTGTGCGCACGACACCACCACCCCCGCGCTCCCCCCGATTTTGGCACACGATAGCAAAAAGGTTAGTCATCATTGTCCCAGATCAACTATGGACAATCAGCTTCAGAGGCTCCAATTTATCACTTCCCAGAATTGCTATGGCTGGAAGAATTCTGTACTTGCTCTCACCATCTGTTGCTGAAGATAGGTTGACTGATTATGTGCATCAAGCTGGTGCTGATTTTAACCACATAGATACAGCTTCTCCAGGATGAGCTTCCTCCCAAAGTGGCACTTCACATCTTCAATGGTGTACTTCTGGCTGCAATAACTGAGTCCAGGCACCTTGCTGCTAGCCATCTTGTCTTCTACCTTTTGCAGCATTATGGACAAGAATATGGTCTTCGCAATATATTTCTAAAATATGGCAATTTGACCCTGGTCATTTGTGCCTTGAATGAAACCTCTGTATTGATTTGTTTTTCGATCCATTTGTTTGCTGTCTTAGGTACCCATATTATGCTCAGGAGTTTTCTCCAACCCCAAAGTTCAAAGACATTAAAACTACTTGAAAATCGATCTTCCTTTTCTGTACAGGGAAGGGACAACCACTGTCTGCA